CTAAAAGCTCCCTCACAGAAAGTTGTTACATGAAATGTTTATGAATACACTGCCTGATGTCTGAGACATTGTTTATGGTAGTTTTCAGAACTTAAACTGTGAGTCAAAATAGTCCCCTAAGAAAACTTATTATTTCAGATTTTCCACTAGTTTCTCATCATCAACATTCCATATAAAACTCAGAAGACACATGTAGGTTCACTGGTGGTTTCGGATAGTAAATGAAATGTGTATATTTGTGTTGTAGTCATGGCAACGCCTGGTTCCTATCACCACCAGTGTAAAGAAGGATAAATGGTTGGAGCTAGAAACCTCTTTGTTTGTTTGTTTCTCTCCGTCTTTCTGTCACTTTCTTTCTCGTCTCTTCAGCATCTGTCTTAATTTAATAATCCCCAGAGGGTCCCGCTGCTGGAGGCTGCACGTATTTAACAGATTGGCTCCTTCAGTCTAGAGGAGCAGGGAGGAGTAGAGGGCCCCTTTCTCTAACCGATTACAGAATTAATTGCTTCTTTAATTAAAGATAAAGCTGGTTGCTCCGGGTAGACCAGTCATGTGAAACTAAAGTAGCTCCCTCCACGTTCTACCTCATTCCCTCTCCCCCTCATCCGCACATTTATTCTTCCTCGAGTAGAGACGTGGCGCTCTTCTAATCTCTGGCATCGTTTGTGACTGTGTCGGAGTGCAGAGCGGGGGATTAGCTGTCCACTGGCCTCGGCGGACAACTTTATCAACCCGACACTTATTTGAAATGCTCAGTCAGCGCTGGCTTTGCTTACCGCTCGGGCTCGTTTCTAGGCAATGAGGCATTTTTAATTGTTTGCTGAAGCTACATTTCTGAACTGAATTATGTTTTTAATGCAATCGTGCGTTTGCATGCTCATTCTGTTTCTGAGAATAATGGTCAGTAAGACTTTCAGAAAACAGCTGTTTGTATGTCATGAAACATGTTATTGATCAAGCCATTGACTGAAGTAAGAATCTGGCAATTAAGCTATTTGGTGCTTTAACCTTTTGGGGTCCACAAACTTGCCTGCGCTTCAGATTCAATGTTTCTATATGTGTTTCTGTATCTTTGTGATAATCCAGCACAGACATACAGTTCAAACATTTCCTGAATCTGTAGAGTCGCCCTTTGCATTCCATCTTATCACGAGATCATACGTGACTCACATCCGGAGTTATGAGGCTATGAAGAGGGGCTGAGATACACATCATCTGCCACTCACTGTGTGGAACTGGTGGATTCGTGTGTCCGTCTACATTCTGTGTGAAACTGACCAATGGACACTCAGGACATCACTAAGGACTGACCCATCACAACGGAAACCCTTCATTCTTCATTCAGTCCACATTGGAGACACATGTGAAATGGCACGCAGAGAGTTTACAGCTGCTAAAGTTGCTGCAGCGGTTTTTGAAAGTAGTGATGAAGATAATGGAGCATTTTGATATGAAACATATGAGTATCATGTTACATGAAGAGACTTTAAAGGAGAATTTAAGAAGAGAAAAACAAATCGAGGAAATGACTTCAGACCCCAGAGGATTAGGTTACGCAAGAATCAACCCACGCTAACAAAATCACTGTGTATCAGTATCAGAGGCGTAATGGCCACCCTGGAATGAAGCATGGCTGCCATTCTGGCCACCCCAGTTCATGAAAGTGAGCTGAAAAAAGTGCTGTTTGGCTACATCGTAAGCTTGACATCATAACAATAGAAGAAACCCTTTTTGGTGCTATATAGAACTATACATACACACATTTTCCATCAATCTGAAGAGGTTAAGTCAAATCAAAGTTTATTTATATAGCGCTTTTTACAACAGCTGTTGTCACAAAGCAGCTTTACAGAAAAATCCAGGTCCAAGCCCCCATAAGCGTTGCCAGTGGTGACAATGGCAAGGAAAAACTCTCTAAGAGCAAGAGGAAGAAACCTTGAGAGGAACCAAGACTCAAAAGGGGAACACATCCTCCTCTGATCGACACTGGATAGCAAACAGCGTTAGTATATAATATTAGAATACCAAACGGGGAAAAAACAGGTGGAGCAATGGTTAATTAGATAATTTGAGTTTATGCAGCAGCAGCAGCATCAGGAGGGTCAGTTCATGCAGGTGAGGTTTGCACAGCTTTGTACAGTGTGAAGCTCCATGGTGGTCAAAACGGTGCAGAGAGAGAGAGAGAGAGAGAGAGAAATTGATTAACAGGACAGGTCCATTTATGGAGAGATGTTAGAGAGTAATAGTGCAAAACAACTGATATGAGCAAAATGCTTGTGCAAACAGGTAAGTTTTGAGTCTAGTTTTTCAATGTAGAGAGTGTCCCGAACAGAGGTCAGGAGATAATTCCACAATTTTGGGGCTACGTAGGAAAATGCTTGACCACCTGCTGTGGTTTTTCTAATTCTAGGAACTGTCAGCAGGCCGTTATTTTGTGAGCAGAGCGTACGTGTGGGTTTATATGACTGAATTAATTCACTATGATACTGCGGGTCCAGGCCATTTAATGATTTATACGTTAAGAGAAGGATCTTATACTCTACACGAAATTTAACAGGTAGCCAGTGTAACAACGACAGGACTGGGGATGTATGGTCAAACTTTTTGGTCCTTGTAAGGACTCTAGCAGCTGCATTCTGGACCAGTTGGAGCTTATTTAGTAACATAATGGAGCATCCAGCTAAAGTGGTGTTTCAGTAGTCCAGCCTGGAGGTTATAAAGGCATGTACCAGCTTTTCCACATCGTTTAGGGCTAGAATATTACGTAGTTTAGCGATGTTACGCAAGTGAAAGAATGCGGTTCTAACAATGTTGCAAACGTGTATCAAACGAGAGACTGGAATCGAAGATGACGCCTAGATTTTTTACAGTGGTGCTTGGAATGACTGTGTGTCCATCTAAATTGTGTACAAATTTGGAGAGTTGAGATCTCTCTGATTCTGATTCTGAAGAACCATTTCACCCTGCAAAGAACCATTTGGTCATGCATTATTGTTAAATGTAAGCACTGTGTCATGGCCATTGCACTGTTTATGAGCGCTGTAACCTGGAGGCAAATTCCTTGTGTGTGCAAGCAGACTTGGCCAGTAAAACTGATTCTGATTTTCTTCATGTGGAAATGATGCACAGATTTAGTTATGTACAATACACGTTTAGTGTTTAATACAGTTTCACTACTTTATTTATTCTTTTTTTTTTTAGCAGTGTCCCCCCATAAAATCTCTGGGTCTTACCTGACCACCCCATTCTAAAAGCTCTAGCTATGCCTATTATCTAGCTACTAGTGATTCAGTCTTAAGTACATTTTAAATACATTTTGTTTTAGTAAAATGTTGGTTGTATATTCAGTCATTGAGTCAAAAGACGAATATATTCGGATCATGATCACCTACACTACACTCTTTACAAAGATTCCACAAAGGGTTATTTAAATGATGCCACAGAAAAACCACTTGGTCCCTAAAGAACCATGTTTGATCAAGATATTTGAAGACGTCCTTCACAGAATGTAAAGGTTCTGTACCAATCTAAGCATTCTTTACGTTATGCGGAGGTTCTTTAAATTCTTAAAAAGGTTCTCTACACTCCCACATCACATTTACAAACATGGTTCTTTTTTGTTATTGTATACACAATAATAGCTGTGGGTTTAAATACTAGAACGACTCCCCAGAAGGTATTTGCAGATATTTTATTCAATATTATTAAATTATTATTAAATTATTAAGTGTGAGCAACATTAAATGATAAATAATATACCATCGTTATCTATTTATATTCATCATTTATAAAGAACTGCATATTGAGGTTTGATCTGCACTTTTGAACATGATGAGTTCTGGTTGTTAATTGTATCAGAACATCATTCTTCATGTTCTCCAGCTCTCTCAGTCATTTTAGAACCTTCTACAGCTCTGCTCATCATTCTGGACTCATCTAACATCTCTATATTTGTATTACTACACATGCAGCCATCTTTAAATCCAGATTAAAACCGTTTTTGTTTTCTTGTGCCTGTCTTGTGTTTAGCTCTGCACCTTAATCACTATTTTGATTTATTTTAATCTCGTTAGTTGTTTTTATTGCCTTTTATCTTTATCTTCTTTAATTTAAAAAATTCTCTGCACTTTTCTCAGCAGTATGTTAATTTCTCTTAATTCCTTATTTTATTTGTCATTTGATTGTCTTCTATATTGAGTTCTAGAATTTTTTATTTTTGATTTATAGCTAAAGGCAAGGCAGGTTTATCTATATAGAACCTTTCCAGCACTGCTGTCATTCAAAGTGCTTTGCAAATGGAAAAATACAGAGTCATTTAAAAAAGTAAAGGAGGACAGAAATTAAAAACAGAGTTAAAACATGATTAGAACAATGGATTTAAAAAAAGAAATTTAATAAAATGAAATTAAAAGTCTAATTAGAAATTAAATTAGAATAATTAAAAATCTAATTAAAACTAAAAGTTAAATTAGGATTATAAAGGACATCTACATGTTCTCCAAAGCTTTATCAACTCTTTGGAGGTTTTACAAGTTTGCTAGCAAGGCTATCCCAAGGAGTGTGCTTTATTTTTCTGTGTTTGTGTGAAGCACTTTGAATCGCCACTGTGTAAAATAGGTGCTGTACAAATAAACCTACCTTGTGTCTTCCAACTGATTATCTGGAACCAGATTAGAATAATTTTATAAATTGATCTCAAACAGAATCATTGTTTAGTATTAAAAAAGCGATTCCATAAAAAATCAGCTCAACTAATTCTTTGAGACCTGTACACACAATTAAAAAGCACCACTTTAGTTCCTGTGGCATTTTAGTTTGGCTGTATTTTATTTAAATGCTAAATGAATTAGTCATTGTTTTTGTGTGCAGCCTTTACGTTTTATTCATCAAGTTGTTTATGTAATTTGTCAATTAGGTTGATTCTGCTGTACATCATCAGCTCATTACAGATGACTCATTAGTTATTTGAGATTAGTTGATAATGTGATTTTATCTTTCAGAGCAATGACGAATGCACACAGAACGGCACAGGAGGCTCCCCTCAAGCTTCGGCCTCCTCCATGGAAGCCATGTCTCCATTCCTCAAAAAGAAAGCACACATCCTGGAGGTTCTTCGTAAGCTGGAGGAGTCGGATCCACTTAAGTTTCATCCATCAGCCTGCTACTACTATCACGGACAGGCATTGTTGCCAGGAGAGACGACCGTGGTGACTCCAAGCACACGTCAGCCCCACTGCCGACACTCCAGTTCAGATTCGGATATTCATGAGTATGCTAATGGGGAAGGGGCACAACAAGACAGCCGTGCGTCCTTGAGGTATGGTGGTTGTCCATCCTGTCGTATTCTTTCTCAGAGAAGTAGCTTAGACAGCCTGCTTAAATGTAACCAGGGACTTGGCATGGGCTCGCATTCTGGCAGAGATGAGTCCCAGACATCTTCAGAAGAGCACAGTGCTTCAGCACAAAGCACATATCCACAGACAAAGATGCCGGACAAAGCAAACCAACCCAGCACACACAGCAGAGCAAATGTTACTCATTTCTCCCAGCCAAAAGCCACCGTTCCATATCTTTCTTCCCTGAGTGCCGATTCCTCTGAAATAGGCGAGGAGCCAAAGCACGACAGGGACAAAATATCGCCTACAAAGTCAAAGGGTGCTAACGGTGGTCCCCAGGATGTCAGGCAATCTGACAGCATGCCAACATCTAGAGCTGATGAGTGCCGTTATCTGGAGGTTGCCACCGATTCTGTGAAACATGAGCATGACTCCTCAGTCTGCAACGGAGTCTTCTCCTCCAACGAAACTTCAGTGTCCAAGAAAGTATCTGTCGAGTCGTATTCTCCAACTACTTCAGCATTTGCGCAGCAGCAAGCCACAGGAAAAGGCAAGTTTGCACACAGTCCAACATCTCCTCCCTCCTCGTTTATTGAGTCCAAGCCATCTCCTGTCTCTTCCCCATCAAAGCTGCTCAAGTTCCTCAAGATACCTTCGATGGCAGAGAACACACCCACGGCCAATGCCTTGCGCTTGAGTCCTCAGCTTACACGCAGCTCAAAAATTCCTTGTAGGAATAATTATGAGGTATACCAATCACCCGTGATGTCCCGCAAAGCTACCACAACGGAGCGAGATAAACCATCCTCTGCCACCAAAACAGACACCTATCCTGGTACACATTCCGCCCCCACCTCCCCGCCAAAGCCTGAGGACACTTGTTCATCCATTCCCATGAAAGAATCAGGTTACAGTAGTCACTCAGCTCCAAAGCCAAGCAGGGCTTCCAAAGGCGCAAGTCAGTCCTCCTCACAGCCTCAAAAAGGTGCTCAGGTGCCTCACTATGAAAACATTTTAGATCCCTCTGCTTCTCATTCCGTAAACGGATTTCCCCAGATAACCCCAGAGGAAATGGACCTTTCTGACAAGCAGAAAATGAGCTTGAGAGATGAAAGGCTCCTTAGTCCGCTCTCACTTAAAACCTCTGATTCATCAGCAACCACAGGCGAATCTCCTTCCGACCCCTCAGACCAGGACACTGACACAGAGAGTCCAGTTTGGCAAAGGCCCCAGCATCACTTCAGCCTGCCAACCTCGTCCTCTGCAGCAAACAAGGCACAAAGGACCAGTTACTCCAGCATGAAAGACAGATATCATGAGGCAGCTCAAAAGCATGACCCTACTACTCCGTCCCAAGCTGTGGCTAAACGAAGTGACAAGCAGCCATCGTTGCCAAAAAGGACTGTCACCAGCAAGCCTCAAAATGATTCAAGTTATCACCCTTTCAAAGAACGTCTGGCAGCCCTTGGCAAACTGAAGAGCACGGAGGACCTCCAACAGGCCGTAGAAAAGAGAGAAGTGCAAAGTAATGTGGGTAAAACCGGTGCATCACCAGGGAACAGTGAAAGAAGCAAGACGGCAGAGCGCATTGTAATGGAACAGCGGCATTCAAAGTATACAGATTCACTTGATGGGAAACCCTACCCTAAAACCAGCTTTGGCAATTACGCCAAGGCCTCTGGTTCTTCCTCTCATGAACAGAGCACTAAGCCAGTGACAGCAGAAAAAAATTATATAGCTAAAGTAGAGGGTCAAAAGATCAAAATGGGAATGTCTTCTACAAGCTCTTGCGAAACCCCTGTTGTGATGCGAAGCTATGGAAAGTGCCCCAATCCCCTCACCCACCACAGCAAAACGGTCCCAAGTCCTCAAAGCAGCCCTACTAGAGTGCAATCAAAGTCCCCGTCCAAAGCTGGCAATGCCTCCTCCTATCCCCGAGGAATGAAACCAGTTCAAGATGAGCGCTCCCACCCCCAGCGGCACACATCGCGTGCTGAAGACAAACCAAAGCTCCCGGCTGGAAAGAAAAAGACCTTTGCTCATGTCGATAACTTCCCACCTCCCCCTCCGCCAAGACCCGGAGCAGAATCAGCTAATATTAAGACTGTTGAAGAAAAACGACCTTCTGCGGCAGCTCCCGCTCCCCAGTCAGCCATTGAGCAGAAAGTGATGCGGGGAATTGAAGAAAACATGCTTAAGCTGCAGGAACAAGATCGAGGCCAAGCTGCAGAAACAAAACAGAAGACCTCCAATGGGATAGCCAGTTGGTTCGGCCTGAAGAAAAGCAAGCTTCCAGCACTTAATCGCAAACCTGAAATGTCCAAGCTCAAGCTCAATGTGTCGTCCTCTTCCTCTGGAGCCAAGGATGCCTCAGGGGCCAAAGGAGGACCCAGAAAGGTGGTGGAAAGCTTAAACATCTCTAAGCTCATGGAGAAGGCAGAAGATTTAAGGAAGGCCTTGGAAGAAGAAAGGGCCTATGTGAACAGGGTGGGGATTGCTCTGGATCGTCCCGGGAGAGGACACTCATGTGAAGTGGTAATGGACCAAGCACAGGGTCAGCTATCGCTTATGTACAGGGGAGTAACGGCTGACAGCTTCATGCAACAGCTGCTGAATAGGTGAGGGTCATGTATTTCATGGCATTAAGTAACCTACTTTCACAATCGTCTGTAAGACCAACAAAATGAAAATACTAATTATTTGTACACATGGCAATCCAGTATAACAGTGGATGTACTGATTTTACATGCATATTGATATAAACAAATGCTGCAACTATTCTATGTTACACTTAAAGACTAATTACACTGTGATATTTTTTACAATAAACAATACAAAACACAGCTAGTGTCATACACTGCAATACTACAGCACTTAAATGTGTTAATTTGGGAAAATAATCACAGTCACAATCACATCATTCTACCATCTTTAACAAAGTAGGATGTTTTGTTTATTTCACATTATATTCTTTCCAGTCATGGTAATGTAACACTATAAAGTTTGGTCAATAGGGGGGAGCACTCACTGATCTCAGACTCTGTCTACGGGCACAGCCATTGGCTGACAAACTGCTGAATGCTGTCAGTTTATTGGCTCCCTATCAGAACATCTGCGTGAGTTAGGGCATGCTTCATGTAAATGATATGTAGGTGCTGGTAAGCTGGTGATTGATTTCCTGCACAAAGCCGATTCATCATTGATGCTCAATTTTACGCAACTTTAGTGAATAAGGGGACATGGTGTATTTTGTTTTTTCATCACATTTATAGGAAAAAAAGCAAATGTTGTTTACAGGTTCTCTAAAGTTGTTCTAAATATGTCTTTTTATGATCCACATAGTTGTTCATTGTTCACAAAATACTGACCACACCCTTTATATGCTCAGAAAAGTGTATTGTGACATATTTTATCACAATAACGCTAACATATTGTCATATAGCCCACATCTAGTAGCAAGATTAGAAAAAAAAATCCTTAAAGACTCTTAATTTGCATTGAGTTTTTACCAGGACTAACTGGTGATGAGTAATATTGTCTTAAAAAGTGAAGTTACATCAGAGGAAATGGTGCATCACTGTATCCTAAGATGACAAAAAAAGCATAAAAATGTAAAATACAGTACATTAAAGAAAAAATGCTGATAGTGGATATTTCATTCTGCCGATATTGTGATTCTTTGACACAAAAAATCCAAACAAATCACATGAGGCTTAATCAGACTTTTAAAGGAGCGTCCAGGCCTAAAACTCGTCTAATGTTACTAATAAGTCATTTCTGTCATTTTAGTAATCCATTCTTTCCACTGTAATGATTATGTGAAAACAGTTACTACAGTAATCCACCCCACCTTCAAGATGTGTCATGGAAAATCTCACTCCGGAGTATGTTTATAACAGATGTGCCTCTTTTACAATGTAAACATGTAAGAGAAGTTGTGAAAACATCTCATTCTTGTGTCTCATTTTCGGAAAGGGTGGATGAGAGAGGAGCCCCAAGTTTCGGCATAGTCCATCGGCGCCTTTCCTTCGACTCCAAGAGGTCCCGTCCTGTTTTCGGCCACCAGCAGAACGGCATCAGCCACACCAGGAGCCGAGAGGAGATGGACAAAGTAAGTATTCACTCAGCGACTCTTAACGTAACTCTTGATACAGTGTGCAGACCGACAATGTCATCCACCGCTGTCTTCTCTCCCCGCCTCAGGGTTCAGACATGGTCAGCCGTGACGAGATCACATCTGATGAGAGCCTGGCGGAGTCCATCAGCTCCCAGCACTTCACCGGTGAGATCCTAATTAAGTCTCTTTCTGCGGCGAGCCTCGTTCTTTCTCTGGGTTTTTCAGCCGCCGTAGCATGACAGGACTATAACCTTTGCCTGAGAACTCATCACGCATGGCGTTCTTTGTTAGTTTCTGACACAAATTGTAATTGCATCTTCACCTGATTGATCTGGCCCCTGAGGGCGTAAAGGTCTCCTGAGAGGCGCTGTGCAGGACGCGGTGGAGCAGCTCTGTGCTGATATTGTGAAGCCTGTCACTTAATTTACACCTCAGGAGGCCTCCAAGCCAATATGTGCACAAACCTTCTCAAGCAAAAAGAGTGAGTAATTTATTACATGGATGAAGGAGGCACGTTGTGAAATCTAATGCGTATCGCTGCTGTTTTAATCCCAGCATCAAATCGTGCAGTAATATTCATTGCAGTAGAGTTTGCACTGTTTTTAAAGCATATTGATGGCATCATAACAAAATTTCATATCTCAGAAATGGTTACTTTATAGTTTTTATGTTTAAAGAGCCCATGTCCTACATTTTTCTTATAGTTTATTATTTTCTCCCATTTATTTCTACTATAAGTACCAACTTAATCATTATCTAATAGTTTGTTAACGATAGTTAATAATGATGCAGTGATAAATGCTACTATTTGAATTATTACCCTTTTGCTAAGTGTAATGCATTATATGATACATTTTTGTAAATACATTGTAAAGTTACTTTGTAATAGGGGTCCAGTTAACCACAAATGATGTTACAAAGGACATCTCTTGCACCGATTTCCATAGACATCACACACAAACTCACTTACATACCAGCATATATACAGCAACCACCTGGGATACCATAGCAATGGGCTATTAAATTTGGGCAACCATCTGGGATAACATAGCAGTGGCCAAGCAACTCCCAAGCAGCCTAGCAGCACCTTAGCAACCACCTAACAACTACCAACCACTGCGCTAACAACAAGCTAGAATACCATAGCAACCTCATAGCAACAAGTTAGCAACTGTCTTGAGTTACTACACACTTAAAAAAAGATGGTTCTTCAAGGGTTCTTTAGTGAAGAAAATGTTTCTATATAGAGCCCTGAACACTGAAAGAACCCTTTGCATGATGAAGGGATCTTTGCATGGTGAAATCTTCAGATTGATGGAGAATGTGCTGTAGATGGTTCTGGGTAGAACCTTGTTGAAAAGTGTTTTTTACAGCACCATAAAGGGTTCTGCTATTGTTATGATGTCAAGCTTGTCATAATAGAATGCTTTTTGATGCTATGTAGAACCATACATTCTCCATCAATCTGAAGAACCATTTCACCATGCAGAGAACCATTTAATCATGCAAAGGGTTCTTTTAGTGTTTATGGTTCTATATAGAATGATTTTCTTATGTGTGTATATAAACCTAATTAAATTATCAAAAACCATCAATAGTGTTCTGCAGCTGCAGTGTCAAGTCAAACTAATCATTCAAGAACTTTGCCTTTCTAGTTATTAATTACTTCTTAAAAACTGTAATAGGTTTACTCAAAAGTCATCTCACTGCTTTTCTTCTATGTCTTTAGAACCCAAACACATCTGTACCAACTGTAAACCCAGTAGAGAGAACCAGCCAATCACAGTTATCATCATTTAAAAGGTCTGTCAGTATTAGGGTTTTTTTGTCAGTATTAGGGTTTTTGTCAGTATTAAGATTTTATTGATATCTTTATCAATACTGCTTATCGATACTGATACTGCTTATCGATACTCTTATTGATACTATTTCCCATTATTTGGTGCAGAAAACAAAGACATGATGTGAAAATTCTAAATGAAAAGATGTGAAAAGGCTGTGGTCATCTCCCCACAGTTTAAAATATCAACAACTATAATCAGTACAAAATTAGTGATCCCTGGTTATCAGGACAGCTAACACTAAGCTTAAACTTAGGCTACCTAGCAGTTAGCGATTTATGCTATGCTAGATACTGAATTTTAATTTATTACAGACTCAGAGTAATATTCCCCCCATCAGAAAAACGCTGCTAACAAACTAATAAAAACACAAGGCTGAAGCCAGCTTCCTGTCTGCCAGCTTCTTGTTCAAATTTTCCTGTTCCATCTTAAATGGCGCAGCAGTTATTATAATGACAGAACAGGTGCCAGAATGTTACTGCTGCACCATTTAAGGTTAAACGGGAAAATTCGAACAAGAAACTGCTGAATGAGAATCTGTCTTCAGCTTCGTCGTTTTAACGCTGGTAGCATTTTTGATAAGATGATTCAAGCTTTCAAAATATCCTACCTGTAGTTTTATGTAGGGAACTACCTGTAATTATGTGCTACCATGGAACATTTCAACAAGGTAGCACAATTTGTCAGAGCACCTGATGACGCAGGTGCAGCAGCCGCTTTGATAAAACTAACAAACTGCACTGCTTCGGATTTATAACATGTAAGTGTTTCATGAGGTTGATGGTGTTTATACACAGCCAGAACTTTACAGATACTGCATTTAACTGCATTATCATTAAGTTCAGTAAAGTGAGCCCACACTTTTGAACGTCTTATTCTTTCAGCCATGACCTGAGCACAGAATGACGCTCATTAAGGTATTCAGAGGAACGCTTTCATCACATGGAGCAGAGCAGCGGCAAGTCCTGCTGATCCAGTACCAACCATTTAAAAATGGCAGCTATGAAGAATAAATAAAAAAAAGAATTTATGCTTTAATGCCATACTTTGTATCATGTTACACCTAACACTGATTGTATCTTCTCTCTTGACCTGTGGCTGGTTTGATGACCACGGCATGTACCAACTGCACACCCGCTGGACCTGCTGGACCCACCACAGTGTCTTGCGGCATAGGACTGATTTTCAGTGCAGTTTATCAGCCCCCTGCAAGTGGGAGGGGACTGAAGCAGGTGTGAAGGGAAATTGCAAATTACTGAACAGCCTAAATAAAGTAAAACAATCACTAAATCATATGTAAGCAACATAACATGATAACAGTAAATCAGTTAAAATTAATGAAGTCATTCTAAAGAGCTGTAAAGCAGCCGAACACGTGAACAATACGCAGATTCTCATAGCTTACAGAGACGGCAAAGCCTTCAGTCTGACCACAGCTGCCCAGCAAAACACCAAAAATAACCGCTCTGTGGTTAAATTCCTGCTTTTTGTTTACTGGGAATAAATGGCGTTTGGTGAAGTTGCTCACAGTGAGCCTGGTGACCATGACTGGCGTGTTATTTCAGCAGAGAATAACGTGTTTGTGAATAGACTGTGTCAGATACTGGATGTCAGTTGGCCTTGACAGAACTATGTGGGCGGGACAAAACATTTCAGGTGCAGGCGGGAGCGGGACAGATGATTCCGAATTTGTGCGAGAGTAGGATGAAATTGTGCAGACAGGTCATTCTCGGCTGCGTTGCTCACCATTCCTTCATTGCTCCTCATCTCTGGAACATTCACCCTCTGGAAATCCGCCAGTCTGAATCTCTCCCTGCATTCAAACCTTAAAACATACCCCCTTCTCCTGCCTACAGCCTTCCCCAAACAAAACGCTAAACTACTCTTCAGGCTTTCATCATACTGTCTTCCTCTGTATCATGTTTTTTAATGTTCTGTGTATTGATGTAGTTGTAATAGTCTTTGGGTTCTTTAAAAAGAGCTTTATAAGTATCTTGTATTATTATTATTGCTGTCCTTGTATCTGAGTGATTCATGTCTATCAACAGAGCAAATGAATTCATACAGAACCCTGTTTTCTGTGTCCACAGAACAGAACAGCGCACCATTCCTCTCAGTTAATCAAACGCAGAACTAGAGCATGGAATTTGTGTGCTTTTGCCAAAACGTCCCCATAATATCCTCTTCTAATCATCAAACAGTATCTGTAACCTTCAGCAACTCAGTTTAGCCATCCATGGACAGATGCACTCCAGATCTAAACAGCGAACAACTTGTTAGTTTCCTTTTAAAGAATTCAGCTCCCATACAGGAGCATAATGAAACTTAACTATAAGGTAAGGGTGTCAGTTATAAGTTGTAATTCATGCCCTTTGGCACTAAGAATGTAATTATATAGAAAGGCTCCTTTTAAAAGCATTCTAATCGATTTTCAGGGACGTTAGCTGAAGCTCCCTTTTCCCTCCAGAGCTCCACCACGGAAGCACATGCTCACCTACATACAGTAATGTGCAAAAGACCACCCTTCATTTAATTAGCAAATTTTTTATCTGTCTCCTTTTCTTAGTGAGGCTTCTTGACAGCTACACATCCTTTCAGACCCATAGTGCTGAGTTGTCTTCTCACAGTGGAAGGATGGACAGAAACACCTGTGGATGTTTTCAGATCTGAAGCAGCTTGATTTTCTCCTCTCTCTCAAAGATGAAAGCTGTTTATCTGTTGGGGGCAGGTTTGGTGGGCTGCAGGGCTGCGTTCAGCCCAGACCATACATTTATTTAAATGGAAACGTGGTGTGTTGAACACTCTGTTGACTTCCACAAGCATTGCAAACATTGGTAGCTGAAAAAAAATTGTGGTGTTCTTATAGCATATTCCATTAAAAAAGCTTTACACGTCTTTGGTAGTTGCGTACACCAAGCTGCAGCGGCTGCGTTTATGGAGACTTTATTAGAATCCATTATGTGCGAGGCCATTTTAGTACGACAGAGTTTATATACACTGCTGACTGGGTAACTCCTCTGACACGCCCCTCAATGAGAGAAAACACACCTCAAAGCTGCTGCACACCGTTTCACACTGAGTGCGTTTACATGCTCTTAATAATCTGATAATTGCAGAAGATCAGATTGTGTCAGTAACTGGTTCAGTGTGTTTACACTTAATAATCTGATAACTGCAGAAAATTAGATTGTGTCAGTAACTGATGCAGTGTGTTTACATGCTCTTGGGTAATCAGATAATGGGGAAACTCCAGGTCTATATGAGAGGCAGTAATCCGATTTCTGCTCTACAACCAACTGATAAACTCACAGAATAAGACGTGATGTAAACATAACATAAAACTTAAACTTCATGATTGGCTAACATCAAGTCACTTTACCTAAAAACATGAACATGCATCATCTAGAAGATGAAGAATATTTAATCCTTCATTTTGTCCAGCATGTATTTGGTTTTAGCGTTGCTCAAAAAGGGTTTTGCCGCCATCTTGCGGCAACACTGCTTGCTTATTCCAGTACCGCAATCTATTTTCGCACATGTGCAGACTGAGAAATCCGAAAGAAATCAGAGTAAGAGTTCACATGCACTGAGAAATCTGATTACTGAGCTCACATCCAGTTCTCTTAATCAGATTTCTTATTCGGATTTCTAGACCTTACTCCGATCTAAGAAATAAGTGTGTTGTTTATTCCATTTGAATAATCAGATAACTGCAGAAATCTGATTATGATCGGATTATTGAGTGCATGTAAACGCACTCACTATTTCAACAAAACATGTTATTCAACCTAAAAACCATAGCAAAACGGCGCACAGCATCTTGACATTGAACATACCCCAGGTCTTCCAGGTGGTTGTTAGGAGTCTTATTTTCTGAGCAGCTTTTAATCATTTTTTCAATTCCAGTTTTGAAACTCCTGTTTTTTTCACTTTAACTTTCCCGTTCCTTATGCAAGCTATGCTATCACAAAAATCAACCAAAATATGTAATTTTGCATACAACAGTACATTAAGTGTGACATCAAATCTTACAAGTCCAGATTAGTGCTTTACTGATGTTCCTGGTACTTGCTAACTGTAACCTACCTGATGATATCTACTGATAGTTACCAGTCAATTCACCGAAAATTGAAGTGTCCCATAATGTATTCTGAGCCAAAAGAATGAACTGAAAGTGCAATTTATGTGAAAAGCATGAAATTAATTTATTTATATTCATATCTATGTGTACTTATTAACTCTTCTTTCAGTCAGTAAAAGTGAAATGATTGACATTGTTGAAGGAACCTGCTGTTGAAATGTTCAGTAATCAGTCTGATCCTGTATTTTTCTGTATGTGCACTCCTCCAGGCTCTGGTTCCTCCATGCGCACTCTCGACAGTGGTATAGGCACGTTCCCTCTGCCTGACTACGCCAGCAGTGCTGCAGGGAAAGGTATTCCCAAACCCCAGGGAGACCAAGGCTTCTCTGCTTCTCAGGGAAAACAAGGAGCCCTGCTGAAGGCTCCGCGCAAAGCACGCACTCTGGAGAGAGAGCTTTCGTCTTTAGATGAAGTGAACCCCTGTGTTCTCTACGCTTCTCCTCTGGAGGCCAAGGGACCAGCCATGCATCTTTCCAGCACCATCCACGAAGGTGCGCTACTTTTTCATATTTTTTGATGCCTTATTCTTTGATATGGGGTCAAATGAGAACTTCTGGACTTTATTTAAAGATAGAGAAGTGCTTCAGTTGATGTTTAATTTGCTTAATATAGCTAATTTTACTTTACATCATTATAATAGCAATGCTAGAGCTGCCAAACGATTAAAATATTCTTCGCTTAATCACACTATTTTCTGTAGTTATTGCGATTAATCACATTTGGTGCATTTTTACATTTATAAAGCTGTGCATTTTGTTATAGTGGTATGAGTGGACAAAATTAGCTTCATCAGAATGTAAATTAGGAATTTTCACTCACTCATCCTTGCAGAACACTTCTAGTGCTTAGGTATTCTTTGGCTGTCTTGTATGCACAGCACAGGAAATGTCAATACTAGTGCAAAAATAGCAAATTAAAGTGGTAAAACTGAATTTGAATTTTCATTTTGAATTTTCTTTTTTTTTACAGTATACATAACTACTACATAAGCAGCAGCTATGTCAGCTACATAATTCAGGAAAATATCAAATTCCTCATAAACAAAATAAACCAGATAATTACTGTCTAACAGAACAACAGCATCCTTGGCGTTGCTTTCTAGACTTTCAGCTCCCTCAGGTTTCTGAAGGAGCACTGAAGGGAGGGGTGTGTTTATTTTGCCGTTGAGTTCAAATATCAGAATCGTTCTCCAGAATCACATACTGCACCTTTAATTCTCACAAGTCCAGATCAGTGCATCTACCAAGGTTCCTGGTACTTACTGACTGTATCCTAGCTGATAATGTCTTCTGATCGTCAACGATCAATATATTAAAAATCAAAGTGTCCGATAATGAGTGATGTATTCTGTGCCAAAAGAATGAACTGAGGTTTTGATAGCAATAAAGATTGCTTTTATTTTAGGATTTATAAAACAGCTGTTGAACCACCTCCCGGAATAAACATATCACCTTAAATCACAGCCTGAGCTTTTTAAACATCGAAATGTGCTCACAGCGGGAGTTCACTCACAGTGAGAAAGGAGATAGAGCGGCTTCTCTCACTGATTTTCCTTCTTTCCTCCCTGGAGCGTCAATATATAACAGGTAGAGATCTCTTTCTATCAGTGTGCGCTGCTGAAAATCAAACCTCGGTCTCTTCAGCCTCAGAGAGAGGAAATAACGGTTTAAAGATGCAGTGTCTGTTCAGCTTCTGCTCATTCATATGATTACGATTTTAAAAATTAAATAATTAAGTTAAATATTTACACACGCTTTTAGTTCAGTACAGCGATTCTCCTTGTCCATAAACCCACAAAGTGCTTTGACACCATCGATTACGCTAAGACGGCCTAAACAAAGCATCATTAAAAGCTTCAGAATGCGGTTCTTTATTCCACTGCCGATAAAATCAATGTGCTTTGTCCTCCAACTGCAATGATAATCCATGCACAGCACTGATTACACATTTCAGTACTCCAACATTTGACCCTTTCACTCAATTTAGTGTAAGGAAAATGCCACTCAACGTTCTGATTGGTCTAAAGTGATGAACATCAGAGTCCACATTTGAATTACGTGTAATGTTCCAACATTTATTCACAGTCAGATCTGCATTTTCTATTGTTTTGTTAAAAATCGCTCACCAAAATATTGAATTTAATGATAAATGAAGTGATGAACTCACTTTTTAGCCATATAGCCAGATTGATTCGCAAAATTTTCTTTAGATTTGTGATCAGAGAACATAATAATGTGAAAATTAAATGTAACATTTTAGATGGACATTAATGGGCTATTCATCATGGCTCCATTCAGTGGGGTAGAAAACACTTTTGTACTTTGTTACTATACTTAAGCATTGTTTTGTATGATGTATGCTTTACTTGAGTATCCTTGATACTTAATACTTGTACTTTTACTCCGTTTCCACTTAGACCTTCATTGCGAATCTCATAGGCCAAGAGATTTTTCCCTTTTTCTAAAAATTATAGCACTTTTATTTTATAGCCCTTTTAAAGACAAGTAATGCCCAAAAAAGAAGACGTATTCTTAACGCTTCATTTGCACTATTATATGCTTTCTTATATTTATATTTTATGGGGGGTTTTTTTTGGATGTTTTATGCTTTTTTACTTTTAGGCATGTAGATTTCACTCAGTCAGAGGCCAGATTCACAAAAGATTTCTTACAAAAAAACCTGCAAAGATTCTTAAAACAAACACTAAGACGTTTATAAGAATGTTCTTAAATGCAATTATCAAAAAGTTCTCAAATATTCTCTAAAGAAAATCTTAATTAGTTCCTGAAGATTTTCTTGTGCAGCCATGATGCCTTTTACAGCTTAATGACACGATACATTTTTAATTTGTAATTTGTGATTAACATTTTAACTGCTATTTCTGTTATTTAGTTTCATCTGGATTTAGAGCAGTGGTTTCTAACCCTGGTCCTGGAGGACCCCCTGCCCTGCACATTTTAGTGTTTACACACCTGATCCAACAAATCAGCTTATTATCAAGCCCTTCCTGAGTTGAAGTGGGTGTGTTTTGGCAGGAAAACACAAAAATATGCTGGGCAGCGGGTCCTCCAGAACCAGGCATGAGAACCACTGTTTTAGAAGACTGCTGAGTTGGTCGACACAAGCAATGGCTTTACCCCAAACACTGTCCACTGGTTCTCCCTTCCTCACTTCCTTTCCCTGCTTTGCAGACATAGACGCCTACGGAGCCCATTTGCAAGCACCACCTACCAAGAACTGGACTTTTCCCAACCTGAGAGGATCAGCAGGTCCTGCAGATGTGTACCTGCAGGAGGACATGGAGCATCCCAGCCAAGGAACTCCATCCAGACGGGTGAGTTAGTCCAGAAAAAGCGCGGCTGCCAAGCTTGACATGGTTAAAATACTACTTTAAAGAAGAACCGCATACCAGCATTGTTAATTAACCTGTTCTAGGTTACTGTAGCATTACCGGCACACTTCCATCGAAGCGTTCACTTTGTTTTTTTCTAAACCATCAATTCATCCAGCAGTGGTGATGCAGTATATTGTCAGAAACCTGAAATCTCAGGATTCGATTCCCACAAACCATTTTATGATCTGTTATTCACAGAGAGGGGCTGCACACATGGAGAAAATACCCTCAGACCCCAGACAGTGTCCATTAAAGTCAGTGGGCAGTTGCTAAGTCTGTCTTAAGAATTTTTCTGCTCTTTTCGAAGTTCAGAATTGTTGTCCATGTCCGCTTTCATAGGAGGTTATTGTTAACTCAGGTTTAATGTTCTTTTCAGTAGTGAGATGTTCTTTGTAATTCAGAACACTTTGCTGAAGAGTGCGCTAATGGCAGCCTCATTCAGAAACTATGAAGGTCACTCCAGACAAAGTACACTCAGCAGTTCTCGACTCCGTGTCTCCCACTTGCTGGAGCAGATACGCACTCTCTTTTATGCGCAGTGAGCCTGATGAAAGCCCTGCTCAGCATACATTATTTAAAGGAGCCCTAGAGTAAAAGGACGTTGAGGTCCTTGATCATTCCCCACAGACAAAAGTGTCCAGTGGTACAGCCTTCTTTTGACTGTCCACTTCAGGCTGAGTCTGGTCAAAGTTGTTCACTTTGAGCAGATGTTGTTCAAACCCGGCAAGCAGCTTCAAGCTCTTGTAAAACTTCTCTGATATACAGGAGAGCTTCAATCAGACCTCAAACTTTGGTCCGAACTCTGAATACAGCCCAAGGGTCTGACCCGAATCCCACGTTACTGACACTGAAAAGTGAATAACTTGTGCTTAGAGGACCCATGCACTTGCATTCATTCTTTAACCGGCTCCACAGCAGAATTAGATTTTTTGGTAAATAAAATAATCCTCCTATGCAGTAAAACAAAGCTCTGCTGATCGTTCTAACACAGTTTTAACAATAAATGGTCTTAAACGCTGGAGTTAATGTAGAACTGCTAATTCACCACTGCTGGTCACCACAGCAATGCAGACAACAATCTCACCTAGCTAGTAGCTAGTGAAACGAAAGATTTAAGACAAACATTGATAATTTGGAGATGAATGGACTTATTTGCATTTATAATCACTCCAGCTGGTTTCCTGATATGTTTAATCTGTGATGAGAAACTGTCAAACACTAAAAGGTTGCAAAGCTTCTCATTTACTAGCTTCTTCTTCGAATTTTCCTGTTCCACCTTAAATGGTGCACTTTAGGCACAATTCAACAAGAAGCTGTCGAATACAGCCTTGTAAAAAAAAAAAAAATACATTGAGAGACGTTTTACAAGAAACTAGAAACTTCTACTTTTGTAGAAAAGTTTCCTGCCTGAGATGCGAGAAAAGTGGCTATAGCTGAGCTAAAGCTTAAAGAAGAGCAAAGCAAGTCTGCGTTTTGTTTATAATTGTTATAATTTTAGTCTATACTAGTACGTTTGCACATACTGAGTCATATTTACAGCCAAAATGGTAAAATGGACATAAAATGTTCTTAACGTTTGGGTTGCAACCCCTGTCCTTACCATCTCCCTTTCTGTCTTAAGTAAATGCAGTGTGTTATTAGCATCACCATTAGCATCACTAGCTTTTGTCTTTGGCTTTTGTTTTGAATTAAACAGACTGTTTTTTTGTTACTGTGCCTTTAAGACTAATATATGTAAATTAGCACTGTTCTGATTATTTGCTGTAGGCTGAAAAGGTGTACATATGTAAATGTGTTGTTTTTTGTGACATCACAAAAACAGTGATGTCTAAATGGGCTTTTTTTGCAGCTAAGTTTCCATATTTGGGCTGTATGAACTGGGGAGTGTTTACATACTACACCAAACTCTTTTATTTCAAAAAAAGCAAGGCAGTTTAAGCGCTGTTTTGGCTGGAAATCAAATAAATGATGGGTGGTCTCTGAGTTTTGCACTCTGCTGCACCTCCGTAACTTCACTTCTTCTTCTCTCAGAAACTCAAAGCCTGTGTTTTCCAAAGGATCTGACGTGTCGAGCTGATTTCCTTGTTCAAAGAATGAGTCACAAGATGCTCCTGTCAACTACTGACAGCATTGTTATTATTAATTATTTTTTCCATCAGCACGCCAACAAAGAATATTGCAGCTGTCAGATCTTTCTTTTTTGGTTTTATCCTTTTTTTTTTACAGAATAATGTGCTAGCGGCCCTTTACATTGTATTAAAACTTCAGGAAGACCAGACCAGTAAAAATTGCCCCAAATTACCTTAAATTACCTAAAAAATCTAGTTCCATTAACTTCCATTCAGAGTTAAGCCTCTGAGTGCATGTTCTCAAAATGTGCATATCTTCTTAATTCTTTTTTTAAAGGCTCTTCATATAACATGATCCTCATATGTTTCATATCAAAATGCTCCGTTATCTTCATCACTATTTTCCAAAAGCGCTGCAGCAACTTCAGCAGCTGTAAACTCTCTGCACGCCATTTCACGTGTCTCCGATGTGGACTGAAAGTGTTTCTGGTGTGATGGGTCAGTCCTTAATGATTTCCTGAGTGTCCATTGGTCAGTGTCACACAGAATGTATATGGACACACGAATCCACCACTTCCACACGATGAGAGGCAGATGACGTGTATCTCAGCCCCTCTTCATAGCCTCATAACTCATAACTGGATGTGAGTCATGTATGAGCTCATGATAAGATGGAATAGAAAGGGCGACTCTACAGATTCAGGAAAATGTATTTCTCTGCTGGATGATCACAAAGATACAGGAACAGATATAAAAGCAAATAAAGCCCAGAGCTAATGCATTTTGTTTGTTATTCCCATTTTTTCAGCTTTCTAAAGCAGACAGAGCTGCGGTTAACATTAATCTAAGTGAAGATCCTCTGTGTTTGCTAACAATTGCAGCTAAAGCTAACAACAATTTAGTGAATCCTGTTCTTTTCAAGATGAAATTACCAAGAAACATCACACAACCAGAGCAACCGAAAGTAAACTAGGATGATATGTTGATGTGTTGATCACTATTTATAGAATTATTACTTTGTAGAGAGTTCGCCTTAAGGCATCCTGAACTATACGAAGCTAACACTATTAGCATTTATGCTAGTGGCCACAGAACAACTGTTTTTACTCATATTTTCACACTTGGCAGAGAAAATTTATGTCTTGTTTGATTCTACATCTGATTCTGTATAAATGTAGACGTGTGTGTGTGTGTGTGTGTGTGTGTGCACAGAACAGTGCAGTATATCGTTTCATATCAGCTAATAAGGTGAGTTGACTAGCAAGGTAGCTAACCTAGCTAATTAGCCAAATTAGACACTACAGCTGGGCCATACGGCAAAAATATAAAGTTTAGACACTTCAAGAAATTTTCATGATACACGATTTGTCACGATATTTATTTTTTCACCTGATCAGATGGAACAGAGAAAAAAGAGCCAGTAGTTCTACATTTAAAAAATACAATCAAAAACTGGAACACAATGACTTCATTGTGTTCAATATGTGGCACTAAATCCAGTTAAACAGGACTAATTTTGTTCTTGTTATAATGAAACATGCAGTTCATCACAAAGATACAGAAACAGTTATAGAAATCAAATTTGACACGCAGGTAAGTTTGTGGACCCCAGAGGGATAAGAAGGCTTTTTCCTTCTCCTGTGAAGTTACCATTTTGGAGATACACGGTTTTGCTCTGACGGCAGTGAGATGTGGACCGAACGCGTACAGAATGTGCTCATTGTGAAGGTTTATAATAGCGCTGACCTCTCAGTTACCCTGAGCTGAAAGGCTTAGCGCGGAGGCTTAAACGCACATGCGCCTCTCTTTCTGAGCGAAGGGTTGGCGGCGTTATGGAGTATGTGTGGCGCTGATGGTCTCGGCTCCTCTTTGAATCTTTTTCATTAGTGTGCCCCCCTCCCTCGCTGTTCCTAGATATATCACACACTCCCTCCTCCTTTCCAGCCAGATCAACAGATAAAGTACGACAGTATATAAAAACAGGACGAGAGGGGAGTGAAACGCAGCGCTGCGGGCCATCTGAGCCTAAACACTGATCATTAACCTGCACTGCTTCCTGAGCTGGTCAGCGGTTGCCGTGGCAACTGTCAGAAAGAGAGAAGGTAAAGCTGATGGAGAATCTTCAGTGTCAGATGGTTCTCAGCAAATGGACTTGAGAGGTGAAATTTTTTTGACCCTTTCGCCTCTCTCTATTGCAGAGCTTTTAAGCTCACTGTTCGGACCCTCGTATTCCGGCTGTGGAATAAAAAATGGCCCTAGCATTTGAAAGCGTGAGGCGGAGTGGGATGGACTGACGTGACCAAGAGCGTCCAGACAACCCTGCTGACCATCCAAGAGCTGCTGTTGCAAAATTAGGATTGTTTAAAGCACTCTGACTGACTCACTGTCACTAAAACTGCTGTATGATAGCATCACTAGCAGAGGAAAAAATTAAAGGGCCGATATCATAGAAAACTTATTTCTTATTTTCCTCATTTTTTAAAATAATAATAATGATAATAATAATAATAATAATAATAATATGTTTATTTGTAGAGCGCTTTTCATGCTGGTAGCAGCTCAAAGTGCTTTACTGACAGGTGATAAAGCTTAACATTAATAGAAGAAATTATGAGTATTCATTTAAAAATGACATCAAATTGAAAAGATAAACACCTATAAAGACAAAATTTTAATTAAATTCTAAGTAAAGAGATACAGTTTCAAATGTGTTTGATGTAGTAAAGCACGACACACAGCCTGACATGTTTATTGCTGAATAATTTTTAAATTATCTCAGCTACATTAAATCTTATTTCATTACAACAAGGCATACACTGTGCCCATTTTCCAAAGCTCTTCAGTACGACCCATTCTACTACCAGTGTTTGTCTATGGAGACTGCAAGGCTATGTGCTTGATTTTATACACCTGTTAGCATTGAGCGTGTCTGAAACACCTGAACTCAGTATTTAGGAGGGGTGTCCACATACATTTGGTCACATGATGTACATCTTCAGAACTTGGGTTGATGACAGTCGTTCTATTGGCTGCTCTGCTATTTGTTCCATATTTAATAGACTAAATCAGAATGTTTGTAAACATAATGGTTGGCTATACATCCAGGTAGATAACTTAGCATCTTAATTTACTTCACAATTTACAATAAATTGAAAAATAACAGACAAAACTTTGCAATAACAGTAAAACCTTGCCATGTTTGAGGCTGTAATGTCAAATGTAGCCAGATATGTAATGCATTTTGTTTGTTATTGCCATTTTCCAGCTTTCTAAAGCAGACAGAGCTACTGTAAATATTAATCACATTGAGGATACTTTGTGTTTGCTAACACTTGCAGCTAAAGCTAATGACAATTTAGCGAATCCTGTACTTTTCAAGATTAAGTTGCCAAGAAATATCACACAACCAGAGCAACAGAAAGTAAATGAGGACAATATGTTGATGTGTTGATCACTATTTATAGAATTATTACTTTGTAGAGAGTTCACCATGAGGTGACATGAACGACACAAAGCTAACGCTATTAGCATTTATGCTAGTGGCCACAGAACAACTGTTTTTAACTCATATTTTCACACTTGGCAAAGAAAATTGATGCTTTGGTTGTTTATACACCTGATTCTGTGTAATATATAGATATTTTATGTGTGTGTGTGTCGTGTGTGTGTGTGCGTGTGTGCATGCAAGAAAAACAGTGCAGTATATCATTTCTCATCAGCCAGTTAGGTAAATTGGGTAGCAAGGTAGCTAATTAGACACTAGAGGTGGGCGATATGGCAAAAGTATAATGTTTAGACACTCAGATATCTGATCAGTTGGAACTGAGAAAAAGGCAGTAGAGCTACAATTTAAAAATACTATCAAAAACTGTGAACACAATGATTTTTATTCAATATTTGTCACTAAACTAACTAAAGTTAAACAGGACTAATTTTTCTCTCTTTATAATGAAACATGCAGTTGGTCAGTGTCGTCAGTGATCTGATGATATACACCATATGTTCAGAAAAGCATATTGTATTGTGACATAATTCATCCCGATAACAATATATATTGATGTATTGCCCAGCCCCATTATACACGTTAGAGTGATCAAAAGACCAAAAAAATGACCAAAGACACAAATAAATCATTAATTGTAGTTCCAGCTGTCTCTCGAGCAGGTTGAAAATGAACTAGGATCAGAGCTAGAACTGTAAGTTCAGTTAGTTTATGTTTGGGTCAGTTGTTGTTTTTGAATGTACAGTGTGTGAACAAAAATTAACCACTCATTCCTGAAGTTATTGAACTGGGAAGATTTTTAAAAAGCAGTTTTTTTCCAATATCTTGGGTAAATAAATCTCAGAATTAGTATAAATCCTGTTGTATCAGTGCAGCACTAAGCTCTTGCTCTGTCTTTCACTGTGATTCTCTCCAGAGTCTGAACAAAGGTGTCCCTCAGGGTCCTCACGAAGCCGACCCCAGAAACCTCCCCCTCCCGCCGCAGATGGGCATGAGCCGTCAGAGGAAGGGACGGACTCACGGCGGTCCGGAGATGTCCAAGGAAGGCGGCCTGGAGCTGGTGAAGGAGCGTCCCGATGACATTCTGTCCCCCAGTCGCCCTCAAGCCTTGGAAACGCCCGAGTCCCTCAGTGACTCTCTCTATGACAGCCTCTCCTCCTGTGGCAGCCAGGGATGAGGGAGAGAACTGATCAAAGTCAGCTAGCGTCCTACCGATGATGAACGTTTACCCTTTACTTTGCAGTGGATACCCAAACGCAGGAGCAACGTGCTGACGCTACAGCCCTGCTGTACTGATCTGATATCAGTTTTGGCCATAGTTAGTAGGGAGCCTAAACTTAAATGATGCTAAAAGCACATCAAATAGAAAGATACAAAGAGGGAAGCTGCCTAGACCCTCAGCAGTCCTTTGGGGAAACAATATTCCACCATTATTTACCTTAAAATACCTCTCCATGAGTCTATTTGTTGCTCCTGGTCTTAATGAACCTGAAATTCCTAACGACCTTTCACGCGTTCCTCAGGACAACTGATGGACAGACTATCAAGAACAACGGATTGATTTAAAAAAGACATTCGCACAGACTTGTGCTTATCGAGAGAATGCATGATCTTGCCACATCTGCTGGAAAACCTCTTGCTTTTGTGAATATCAGAGAAGAGGGCCTTGTTCATTTTGTTCCATGAAAAAAAAGGCCGTAATCAAAAAATTAGCTTTATTTTAGAACGTTTTATATAATCTTGGTCATTTAAGACATCAACAAGTCACAAGTTCCACCATAACATCATAATTAGGGACAGTTTCACTGTGTAATTGAGGAGAGCCGAGCGCTGACTGGCTCAGAGCCTCCTGCTCAAAGCTGGAAGGCAGCAAATCCCACCTCGTCACGTCTCGGTGGTTAGTTGATTTGCTGGGAGACGCAGGCTTGTGTTTTGGGTTTGATTGCTCCTCTTCCCCAAATAGTGGGGCTGCTTCCGTAGCTGCGGCTTTGTTTCCCCTCTCGGCTGGAGGCAGGAGGCTAAAGCTAATAGCACACTTTTCTTTCCGTTTATCCTTTATCACGGCTACAAATCACAGGTTTAGACTTTTGGTGAAAGAAGCTGTTCTGGCAGTCAGCTCTCAGAGTTGCATTTGTGTCCATTACAGAAACGTCCAGGAGGCACAATGACATCGGATATCAGTATCATATGAAAAACATACCCCTTTGGACAGATTGATATTTCAAACCAGTATTTGAGCGGAAAATTTGTGTCGCTGCACTAAAATATCTACATTTTATTCATTTTACTGTATTTGTAGGCTTACAGAAAAACTCACATTTCTCTGTAATGCTTAGTCCTAAATTTCTACATTTTGTAAATGTTTATGTATCAGCATTGGTAGGTAGGCACAAGAAAATTGTCCAGTATCATCCCACAGTTCCCATAAATGTGCATCCCTCTTACATGTGGCTATATAACAGCTTAAGGGCTGTGTTCAGAATCACTCTCCACTTGAGAAATAGTGCACTATACAGTGTGTCAGCTATGCCAGTTCTCAGTGGTAAATCTTTCAGTGTGTTCAAACACTATTTAGTGAATAGTATATATAAACTGAATTAAAGGGTGGATACACTCTAGAGCAGGGCTACCCAGATCCACCATATCTCACCCCTGAGGACGTTTGGTTTGGCCTAGCAGAAAATTACCCTACCCCTGACTCCCCCCAGCTGAACATTTTTTGGATTATTTTAATTGTCAGTGTAATGTTATAAAACACATTTTAAAAACTCATTTAGGACCCTACTTAGCTTTATTTGCAAAAGTTTGAACACATCTGCTCAAATTCCATAGTTTACAGAAGCCGAATGTAAATATGGCACTTTTCTGCTAATTTAAGTGCACGGTTTCTTTTCATTTACTGAGTTTAATATATATATATATATATATATATATATATATATATATATATATATATATATATATATATAATACCATAACTTTTGCACAGGCCACAATTTAGGATTTTATCCCCCCCCCAGTGTGTTAAATTCAGTAAATAGTTTTTAAAAGTATATTCAGTTATTGTGCATTAAAGTGTGCAGCAGTGTGTCTCAGTAGAGAATGTGCAACTTATTTACACTCAGAAAATTAACGATAACATGGAATCTGACCCGTTTGCATACGACTGTATATATGACTTTTGTCTTATATCTGTCCACTACAAATATTGCATTTTGGCCACCGAGACAAAAGGTTTGGGCACCCCTGCTCTAGAGTCCAGTATTATCTGTGTGTTCTGTTGAATTTAGGGTTTGAATTAAGATGGTCTGTAGTGAAGAAACTGTAAAATGACAAGGAGCCATATTACAGAAACATCCTATCTCTGAAATTTTATCCCTGACGGTTAGCGTTTAGGACAGTATTGCAGAACAACAGTTCCAAAGTTCACTATCTTATCTAATCTCCAGATAGGATAGTTAGTCATATTTCAGTTTTGTCTCGCTAACTAATGTACATTTTTGTTTGTTATTATGATGGCATGTTTACAGTTCAGCTTTGCGTGTTTTGTTAGTTGCTAGGAAACAGCCAGTTAAAACAGCACTATGTACGTTTTTTTGTTAAGACTGAAGACAGTATCATTACTAAGTGAGGACAATAAAAACACACTAAAATACGGTGAGCGTGCGCTGCTGTGAGTCACCCTGTAAAGCCTGAAATAATCATTTAAAAGTCAGAGGTCAAGTTTTTCACACCATGTTGTACGTCTTTATGTATTAACATCACACACAGACTCAAAAAGAAGGTCCGGCTCGATGTTTAGGCTGAAATGATCTCAGAATCAACATTATACTGATGAAGATATGATGACTGTAGTAGATAATTCACTCACATTCTCAGAAGACACGTCCATCACCAAGTTTGGAGTGAGTTCTCTTTGAATTGTCTTTCACATCTCACAGAAGTCAGATTCATCTGCTTGTGGGGGTCCAAAGCACAACCTATGTTACAAAATGTTCCTTTGCACGTTTTGTGCAATTACACATTTCCACCAGAGAGGGCTCCAAATATTACATAGTGCTGCTTTAATTATCAATCTCAGTTGAGTATGAGTAACTCGAGATAAGACATTTGCTTCTGTAATATGATTTTGTGAAAAATCTTATCTTGATCTTTTCAGATCTTCATTTAGGACTAAAGATGGGAAGTTTCTGTAATACAACACCAGACTTAATACTGAGGGCTGGGCTAATGTGTCTAGAAAACCAGCCCTGCTTTCTCCAAAACTCAGACCATGACAGAAGGTGCGTTCTGACCAGATTTGTACATGTAATCTGTACTCCCGTCTCACTAACCCGCACTGCAGCCTCTCTCAGTTCCCCAGAAAACCTGAGAAGAAGGCCTTAGATAGATCGGTCAGTCTCTGTGGTGATCTCGGTGCTGCCATCAAATTTGATGCTCACTTTTCTGTAAAAACACACAAGCACAAAAACCTTCATCAACTGAATTCTTCACCACTTTTAGCAGCTCTTTATTCTTCTTTAGTCCTGCAGAGACGTTCTGCACAACAAACTGCACTGCAGGACTGGAGGTAGCACTTCCTCTGAGCCAGTTGCCATAAAGCTGTCGCAATGATCTAATAGCCGTGTGAATTAGAGTCCGACCGTTATGTTGGTCAGCCGATATTGACGCCTGTGGTTTATTTGGTATTTGCAAGAACATCGCTCTGATAATGCACTCATAATGCACTGATAATTACTGATTTTTTTTTGCTAATATAAACAAAAAAAAATATCTGAACATTATTTTTCCAAAGAATTAGTTAATAGATAGCGAGACTGCAAAGAATTCTGGGTACCCCCCCCCCCGACTGATATGATATTTATATTCAACTTCAACTTGTTCTTTCTTATTTAAAAAAAAATGAACTAAATGATTGTAAAATTAACATAAATATCAAATTACAGTCATTACAGTCAGACATTACAGTTCAAAGGTTTGGAATTACTGTTTTCATTAATATTATATGGTTCAGATAAACAAACACGAGTGAATGGTAACAGTGGTCACCTTTAAATGCTTAACCATGAATCATTAGCCCAGCTAACTAATAAAATAACATACACCACAAATATCAAATATATTCTGAATAACTCTTTTATTTTGGACATATTTTTATCATTTAATGAGCATTTTAAAATTGTATGGCCATTGGCTAATATTTCTTAAATAAAAGTAAGTAAATAAATAAATATTCAACTTTTATTTATATTAAAAAAATATAAAATAAACAGTAATAAATGTTGTTCTGAGTAAGCTTTTCACACTTTCCATGACAGGCGAGTGCTCTGGTGGATCTTTCATATTTATTTATGTGTTTATTTTATTTGTGAATACATTATATTTTTTTTTCTGCCACGGACTTTGAACAGATGAGACACATCAGTGTTTTCAGGTCATTCTCTCTTAAACAGTCGCTGACCAGAACATCGAAATATCATATGTAATCCAGTGATCAAATCTCACTGATCAAATCACAATTCATAAAAGAAATTCAGAAATTCACGATATTACTATAAATAAATGATTGCAATTTATTTCTTAATTAATTGTGGTTTATTTCCTAATCCCAAAATACCTTAAATTAGGAATGTACACTGTATGAGTTCTTATTGAATAACAATTATTAATGTAACGTGTGGTTCCAAACTTTTTAAACAGCACATTCTTAAAAAACATGGGTTCTTTAGTAAAGGCAATGGTCCAAAAATGGTTCAAGCTTGACATTTGGTGCTATACAGAACCATAAGCAACACATTTCCATCAGTCTGAAGAACAGTTTCACCATGCAAAAACATTTAAGCATGCAAATGGTTCTTGAGTGTTAATGGTTCTATATAGAACCACTGTCTTTACTAAAGAACCCTTAAAGAACCATCTTTTTTAAGAGTGTGGGGGCTTTATATCCCTCGCTGCTCAAGAGTGTCCCATTCTATTGATCAGTGCTTTTCTGTGGAGATTACACTTGGTTCTAAATAGAACCAATGCCTTCACTAAAGTATTTTTAAGAACCATATACAACACATTCGCCATCAATCTGAAGAACGATTTCACCATACAAAGAACCAGTTAAGCATGCAAATGGTTCTATATAGAAAACATGGTTCTAAACAGAACCATTGCCTTTACTAAAGACATTTTAAAGAACGATCTACATCAATCTGAAGAACCATTTAATCATGCAAATTCTGAGTGTTCATGTTTCTCTATAGAACCACTATCTTTACTAATGAACCATTTTTTAAGAGTGTAGTGTAAAAATACATCGGCCAATATTGCTGGTAAATTTAAAATCAGTATCGGTATCGGCCAAAACATGATCTTATCGGTCGGGCTCTGATGTCAGTGCCGTAATTCAGTATCGCTCGTTACCTACACTGTGACTGAACAGGACGACATCAAAAACTACTGTGACACTTCAAACCAAATGCTACAATTTAACTGACCACAGACAGTAACCTGTCTCACAGCTGGGCGTGGGAGCTGTTCCGATGAATGATCAAGTCACACAGTTCGTTTATTTTCGCCTGAAGGTTTTATCGAGACGTAAATGGCTGATTTTAAAGCGGAGATGACTTCAGCACCCGCAGCACTGATGAGCAATACTGTGTTTATATGAGTGAACAGTAACTTTGTACAGTGTAATTTAATAATAAGGTTGATTTTCTCCAGAGATGAAAGTTTATGTGGTTGAAACGAGCTGTAATTAGGACAGCCTGCCCGTCTGTGCCCGAGTGAGTAGGTGTGAGTCCCTTCTTTTTGTTTCTTTTTGTTCTCTCTTCTGGAAAAGAAGAGGAGATCCGCCACTTCCTCGCGCTTCCAGTGTCCTCGGCTGTCTTATGATATGAAATCTTGACTGATTTATGGAGAATTTCCTAAATCTGAGCCCTTTTTTACTCCTCACGCATTCTGTGTTGCTGCACACATACTGACGATACTAAATAATGCAAAGAGGAACTGAGAATCAGACTGTTCTGCAGAAGCAAAAGATCCTGAAAGTCTTCCAGTAGACCATCAAACACTCAGCATATGAAGGGGAATTCCATCAACTTTTCAAAATTCATGCAGAATTCAGTGAGATATTCAGAGTGATTTAGAGTGGATTGGTGTGAAATGGTGCAGATTTCTTTACAGTGGTGGTGATAGGAACCAGGGGTTGCCATGACTACAACACAAATATAGACAATATAGACAATCATGATCAGTATTAAACACACAGATATGGCCATTAAAAAAACTATGCGTATCAGCAAACTAGAATGTCTAAATCATGTGGCTGTATTGTAGACACAATCACAAATATCAGATCAGTATTAGCCAATACCCAGTAAGTACACCGTTGGATTGGGGTGTCCCAATTTCTGTGAGGGAGCTTTTAGAGGTGGACGCCTGGTTCCTATCACCACCACTGTGAACAATTCTGACTCTAGAACAGCTTTTCACGTAAGGGTGGGCGATATGGCAAAAATATAACATCACAATATTTGACGATGATACATTCTATACCACAATATATATTTTTTTTTTTCTGGGTTTGAAGTCTGAACAGTCAAAAAAGATCCAGTAATATTGCATTTAAAAAGAACTACTATAGAAATTTTCAAAATTTTTGCATAATTCCGTCACTGCGATGTTGACTCATTCAGAGTGGTTTGGCGTGAAATGGCTCAGAATTCTTTATAGTGGTGGTGATAGAAACCAGGGGTCGCCATGACTACAACACAAATATAGCCATTTTATTTACCATCCAAAACCACCAGTTAACCTACATATGTCTTCTGAGTTATATATGAAATGTTGATGATGGTAAAATAGTGGAAAAACTTTTTGGGGACTATTTTGCCTTAGAATATCCTTCATGTATCCCTCCACTATGAAATAAATGGAATACAATATGTTTTAGGCTAAAACCTTGTCACAAAACTTTGTTGTAGAAACAATGTCTCAGACATCAGGCAGTGTATTCATAACCATTTCATGTAATATCTTTCTGTGAGGGAGCTTTTAGAGGTGAACATCTGGTTCCTATTACCACCACTGTGAACAATTCTGGCTCTAGAACAGAGCATTTCACACAAAACCACTCTGAATGACCCTGTTTACATCTTAACCATTTAAGCTGAGTTTCCAATGCTTTTATTCAATGTTTCACACACTAAATCCTGTTAAACAGGCCTAATTATGCTGTTGTTGTTATCAAACATGCGGCTGGTGTTTTTTTAAGTACCAATGATAGCCCTATGCTCAGAAAAGCATAATTATCACAATAATGATAAAATATCATGACATTGCCCACTCTGAATGATTCTGATTACACCTTAACCACTAAGTTATGCAGAAATTTTGAAAAATCAGTGGAGTTCCCCTTTTAGGATGTGAGGGAAACAGCAGATTCTCGAAGCATGAGGTCATAAAGTGCACTCAAGCAAGTCCACGTCTGGTAAACCTCCCAGTTTCAGGTGTAGAACTTTGGAAAAGGAGGATTTGTCCACAGTGCCGGCTATTGATCCAAGCACACATCTTCCATTACCTGTATTGATTTGTCTATAGGCTTCATAAGTTTGTGTTTTGTCTTGTCGTGATTGTAAACAGTTCTTTATTCTCCGGGAATCGGACTCTGAGTGAACAGGAAGGTGGACCGGTCCAGCAGCTCCTCTATGTTTTAGTCCGTTGGTGCGCGTGGCTGAACTGTCGGTTTAATCTAAATAAGACGGGTTAGTTTATTATTCCTGATTTTGGCTCCGCTCTCTCATCTCATGCATGGTGTAGCTATAATTTCACTCGTTCTTTTCCTGTATTTTGACGTAGTTTGACGAAGAGCTTGATTGATTTGTATTTTGTATATTTATTTGCCTATTTAATTTTTGCCCACTGGTTTAAACTGTTGTCGCTGCTGTTATATTGTACATTCATTGTTGTTATTACTGTTTTTGATTGTAATGTTTTATTTCCTTTCATACTCCTTTGATCTCTTCTCTGCGTGTTTGTGTTTTCTTTCTGTTTTCTTTTCCTGTAAATAGTATTTTAAGGTGCTATGTAAATAGCATTTCCACCAGAACTCTAACAAAGCCATAAAACAGTGTACGTTACCGAGACAGTAATTCAGTGATGGGTCTCTTAATTTATGGTTCAGCCAAAAAAATGAAAGAAAAAGAAATAAACCCTTTTGCTCAGTTTTGCTTTTTAAAGACTTTTTTTTAACAGAAAATATAACTGATCTTTGCCTTTGTCCTTCTCACTGTTTTTCTTTCCGTTTATCTCTGACTCTCTCGCTCTCTCTTTTCTTTCTCTATCCCTCTGTCTTGTCTTTCTCATTTGTCCCTTCCTTCCTTCTTTCTTTTTTCTTTTCTGATTTTTTGTTTTTGTCTCTAGCCTTACATTATTTGTTTTTTTCTTTTACTCTCCTTCTCTTTCCCTCTCTCTCCTTCTCTCTGTCTCTTTCTCTCGCTCTCTCCCCCACCTTTCTTTCTCTCATTCATTTTCTTTATCATTCTAATTTCTTTCTCAGACATTTTCTTTGTCCCTCTATCTCTTTTCTCTTTCTCTTGCCCTCTGCCTCTTTTTCATTCTTAGTCACTGCTTTCTTTCTTTTTCTCTTTTCTCACTTTGTTGTCTCCATCTCCCCCCTTCACTCTGTACCTCCCTCTCTCTTTCTCTACCTCTCCCTCTCTCTTTATTTCTCTTCCTCCCTCTCCCTTTCTCCCACCCTCTCTCCTCCCTCTCTCTCTCCTTCACCCTCCCTCTCCCTCTTTATCGTTCTCTCTCTCCCTTTATTTCTCCCTCCCTCTCTCTCCCTCCCCCCTCAGTCCCCTCCTTCTCTCTCTCTCTCTCTCTCTCTTTCTCTCTCTCTCCCTGCCCCTCTTTCTTTCTTTCTCTCTCTCTCTCTAAACTTGTTGCTAAAAGCCTGCTCGCGAGACTGAGACACACACACACACACACACACACACACACACACACTTCAGTGAGCTGCCCGGCGCGCGCTGCTGCAGGACGTTAGCACGCCTTCCCTCGCGCAGCCTCGTGCCTCCGTCTGCTTAAGCACGGACAACCGCGCGCTGTTGATGGAGCTCGAGGAAAAATGCGCGCGCTCCTTCTCTTCGCTGCTCTGTGTGGCTGCGTCTTCGCCTCAGGTAAAATAACAATAATAATAACAGCAACGCACCTTTAGTTCCGCGCGGAACTCTGCCTTAATTAAGACAGGATTAATGAGCTCGCGAACTTCTGCCGGAGCTCGGAGAGGAAGAGAAATGGGTGTCTTGTGCTTGTCTCGTTCGTGCGTAATTACGCACGTTTACTGCGCTCCGGCGTCTCCTCACAGCGGCTGATGTTGTCGGTCTTAACGAGGCTTCTTATTCGTAGCTTCTTATTTGAACTCTCCGTTCCACCTTAAAAGCTGCAGCAGTTACATTCTTCGAAATTGAAGTTGCATGCAGGTTACCAGAATGAACTGCTGCAGCTTTTAAGGTGGAACGGAGTGTTCGAATAAGACGCCAACTTAAGCTATGTCTAGTGTTTCTTCTTTGTTTATTTCACTGTGGGCTTTGTAAGTTAAGGGGTTTCTGACAGTGTCTGGTGGCATCTGAGGGTCTTAATGAGGCTCAGGTGACGTGTTCTTAATTGGAGACTGGACTACAGGTGCATTAGACTCAGGTTTGCTGTTGAATAGATGCCTCCAATCATAACAGAGCTCGCCTGATTGGGCTGATTAGGAGAAATCCTGGAGGGTAGTTTGTGTTGCAGTAACAGTCTCTACTCTTCTGGGTAGATGTTGGAACGTTGCCGTGAGGATTTGATTGAGCATCAGTGAGGTCAGGTACTGATGTTGGATGGTCAGTTCTGGATCACTTCAACTCATCCCAAAGGTATTGGATGGAGCTTCATCACTCCAGAGAACACAGTTCCACTGCTCCACAGCCCAAGGCTGCACTCTTAAAAAGATGGTTCTTCAAGGGTTCTTTGGTAAAACAGTGGTTCTATATAGAACCATGAAGACTTAAACAACCATTTGCATGCTTGAAGGGTTCTTTGCATTTCCATGTGTTCTGTATAGCACCAAAAAGTTTCTTATGTTGTTACAAGTTTGACATCATAACAATATCAGAACGATTTTTGGTGCTATATAGAATTATTTGCAAAATGGAACCAAGAATCATATAAGCATGCAAATGTTTTTTGAGTGTTCTTGGTTCTATATAGAACCACTGTCTTTACTAAAGAACCCTTTAACAAACCATCTTTTTTAAGAGGGGCTTTACTCCCCTCAGCGTCCCATTCTATTGGTCAGTGCTTTTTTTATGGAGAACAGAAGAACACCTGTGTGGGTCCACCTTAAAACAGCTGACCTCACCCAGTAAATGGGCTGACTGGATACTTTAGGACAGACTCAGTGAGGACAATAAGTACGAGTTAGTCAGTTTTCAGAATGTGTTACTTCAGAAAACACTAGACCAACTACTGAGACTGAACTCTGGAGGTGTGTCTGCAGATTTCTTTGAGAAACTGAAATGAAAGAAATAAGAAAGATGGAAAAAGAGAGGGACAAGAAAAAATACAAAGGAGGAGTGAGAGGTAGAGTGAGAGAAAGGATAGTGAAGAAAGAAAGAAAGAAAGAAAGAAAGAAAGAAAGAAAGAAAGAGAAAAAGAGAAAGATGAGAAGGAGTGAAAGGAGAGATAGAAAAGACAAAAGGGAGAGAAAAAAGAAAGATGAAGAGGGAGTGAAAGAAGAGAGAGAGAAGGATAGAAAAAAGACAAGAGAGAAATAAAGAATAGATAGAGAGGGAGTGAAAAGAGGGATAAAAAAGACAAACAACAGAGAGAGACAAAAGGGTGTGAAAGAGAGAACAGAGAGGGATAGAAAAAGGCCAAAGAGACAAAAAGGCAGAGAAGAAAGAAGGACAGAAAAGAAGGAGAAGGGCAGAAAGAAGGAATGTGTGATGGACATGGAAAAGTCAGAAACAAGATAAGAAAGAAAACGAGAGAGAATGGAGGCTATGATGAAGGTAGAGAGAAAGAGAGAGAGAGAATGGAGGCTATGATAAAGGTAGAGAGAAAGAGAAGAGAGAATGGAGGCTATGATTAAGGTAGAGAAAGAGAGAGAGAGAATGGAGAGGGTGAAAGAATAGAAGCTGTGATAAAGGTAGAGAGGGAGGCTGTGATAAAGGGAGTGAGAGTAAACACACTGAACACTAACAACAGCTGATATATTTAGCTGTTCTGTGTAATTTTATGTTTTCTGCCTCTTTTTTCTGACGCTTGTTCTTAATGGCTTTTAGGACTGGAAAGTAAAGGGCCAATATCCTGCATTTTACTCTGAGGTCACTTATGACATTTATGTATGTTTTATGGGCTGAAAACATTCATGATTCATCTTTTACATGGAGCATTTTCTTCTTCACTTAGAACCAAACAAGCTGTTTTTGCTAAACTGCTGTGGACTGAATGGGTGGAGCTAAACTGCTGTAGGGCGAATGGGCGGGGCTAAACTGGTGTAGGCGGAACGGGCGGGGCTAAACTGGTGTAGGCTGAATGGGTGGGGCTAAACTGCTGTAGGCTGAATGGGCGGGGATATACTGCTGTTGGCTGAGTAGGTGGATATATAGTTGGTCGAACTGGTTTTCGTGACATCACAAAAACAGTCATGTCAAAACAGGCTGTTTTTGTAGTTTAGTGTCCATATATGGACTGGGGAGTGGACAGTATGTTAAAGGAAAAGGAAATTTGGTTTTCTTTGATATAGCCCTTAAGTAAATGACTTTTGAGCAGTACTGTACAGTGTATGTAGTTCTTATATAGCTCAGTTCAGCCAGTCTTTGGTAAAGGCTTAATTAACTGATAATGTGCCTAATTGATAAGGTTTAAAGTGCTCCAATGAATGTATGAATCTAATAGATACTTAAAGGGTCGATATGATGAAAAAATGAATTTTCCTCATGCTTCAGACAGACGGGTTTGATGTTGTACGTTTTATCCTTTTCACTCACCCATCCATACAGCCCATAAACTAAGCTGCAGTTTTTTAAACTCTATTGAATTCATTGCTTTTGTGATGTCACGAAAGCCAACTCATTTACATATGTCCACCTACTCAACTCACAGCAGTTAAGCCCCACCCATTCAGTTATAAGGAGTGTTTCATCCTGGACTGCTTTCTAAAAAAAACCACAATACAGGATAGCCAATCAGAACAGAGCTCATTTACATAAATCAGTTGTAAAGGCACAGTACAGTCTTTAAAAAGATGGTTCTTCAAGTGTTCTTTAGGAAAGACAGTGGTTCTATATAGAACCATTATGTGGTTCTTTGCATGGTGAAATGGTTCTTCATATATAGCACTAAAAAGGGTTCTGCTATTGTTATGATGTCATGCTTGTAACAGTAAAAGAACCCCTTTTTTGCACTACATAGAACCATTTTCAAAAACGTTCACCCGAAAAACTGTTTGCATGCTTAAATGTTTCTTTGCATAGTGAAATCGTTCTTCAGATTGATATGGTTCTATACAGCACCAAAAAGGGTTCTTCCATTCTTAAATATGATGTCAAGATTTGTCATGCTATCTAGAACCATTTTAAAATGTTCTATATAGAACCATACAGAACGTATTCTCCGTTAGTCTGAAGAATGATTTTAGTATGCAGAGAACTAATTAAGCATGCAAATGGTTTTTTGCGTGTTCATGGTTCTATATAGAACCAGTCTTTACCAAAGAACCCTTGAAAAACCAATTTTTTTAAGCATTTAATAAAAACAGCACAGTATAAAGAGAGGTTGAAAATGGTCATATACAAATTATGATTGTTTGTGGTACACAAAACCCACAAATGTCATAAGTGGACAAAAATAAAATGCAAGAAATTTTTTTAAAAATGGCCTTTTAAAGATCTGTCTGTCCCTCCAAATGCTAATAGATGATATAAATAATATTAGAAAATGCTTTTAATTGCAGTTTGGTCATTAGTTAGTGTCTGTAGTCTGAGCTTTAGCAAAATAGTCTGCTGAAATCTGAGTGTGGAGTTAAATCAGTGAGGTAATGTTAATGTGATTAATGTGTGTGCTGTTGTCTCAGGGAGCAGTAAAGTGGCTCCCCCTTGTGGACAGTTAATGTTACTGTGCATTTCAGCTCAGCTGTTCATGATTGAGTCTTTGCCCACCTTCAGTTAGGGCTGAAAGGTTTATCGTTTTCTCATCGAAATCACAATTTAAGAAAATGCAATTTTCAAATCGTAAGAGCTGCAGTTTTGTAAACTTATAGCCACATTATCAAAAACAATAACTAAAAGTTTTACGAGGGGAAATTTAACCTAATAACACAGACTTGTATGCTACTTGTAGAGTTAGACCAGTCAGAGGCAACCAAACCTCCATGTGTTGTGACATCACAACCACAACTTACTGGCTTTCTGGAACACTACACACTTAAAAAAGATGGTTCTTCAAAGATTCTTTAGTAAAGAAAAAGGTTCTGTACAGAACCATGAACACTCAAAGATCTCTTTTTTTAAATGATCAAAGGGTTCTTTGAATTGTGAAAGTGTTCTTCATTGATGGAGAATTACTGTAGATGGTTCTATACAGAACCTTTATGAAAACAGGTCTATATAGCACCAAAAAGGTTCTTCTATTTTAACAAACCTGACATCGTAACAATCTGAAGAACCCTTTCATAATTCAAAGAACCCTTTAATCATGGAAGAGGGTCTTTGAATGTTCATGATTCCATATAGAACCGTTTTCTTTACTAAAGAATCCTTGAAGAACCATCATTTTTAAGTGGGTACATTAAGGGGTCAAGCCTCAAGCCAGAAAAAGTGGATATTCTGGTCTTCATGGTAAAACAATTTTTTATGGGTTCTTCAGTATACACAACCAAAATCACTCAGAGAACCATTTGCATGCTTCAAGGGTTCTTTGCATGGTGAAATTGTTCCTCAGATTGAGTCAGCAAAACTCCTCCCAGCACAACTGAAACCCCTCTCAGCACAACTGAAATTCCTCCCAGCACAACCAAAACCGCTCCCAACACAACCAAAACCCCTCCCGGCACAACCAAAACTCCACCCAGTACAACCAAAACTCCTCCCAGCACAACCAAAACTCCTTCCAGCACAACCAAAACTCCTTCCAGCACAACCAAAACTCCTCCCAGTACAACCAGAACTCCTTCCAGTATAACCGAAACTCCTTCCAGCACAACCAAAACTCCTTCCAGCACAACCAAAACTCCTTCCAGCACAACCAAAACTCCTTCCAGTACAACCAGAACTCCTTCCAGTACAACCAAAACTCCTTCCAGCACAACCAAAACTCCTCCCAGTACAACCAGAACTCCTTCCAGTATAACCGAAACTCCTCCCCATGCAGTGCGTCACTGGGCTTGTGATCCGTGTCTGTGAGGAAGATAATCATGGAGGACACACATGCTCAGACGTGACCATACAGAACACACTGCAGATGACTTTAAAAACAATTGGCTGGCACATAATGAGCTGACTTGCGTATTCTGTCCCATACAGCAATTAGATTTTGGTCAGACTAACTAGAGACACATTTGACTACCAAAATGTATGCGGCTAAAATCTTCAATCCAGATACTGGACACAGGAAGAGAACAGGTGTGAATGAGGTCTTACACATGCAAGCAATTACTGTAACACAGTGAGGAGGTTTGATAAGTTACTGTAAATAATCGTTCTGTTCAGAGGAGTTACTGTAACACAGTGAGGAGGTTTGATAAGTTACTGTAGTGTAAATGGTTCTGTTCAGAGGAGTTACTGTAACACAGTGAGGAGGTTTGATAAGTTACTGTAGTGTAAATGGTTCTGTTCAGAGGAGTTATTGTAACACAGCGAGGAGGTTTGATGGTCAGTTTAAAGTGTGAGTGTCCACTGTGGTTAATGATCTACAGCTCTGGGGAAAAAACTGTCTGGCTGTGCTGGTTTTGATGGTCCTGAATCGTCTACTAGAGGGGAGTGTCTGGAGGAGGTGTTGTCCAGGATGAGAGGGGTCAGCTGTAATGTGCCAGTGCTCTGCTGTTGTCAATGTCCTGAAGCGTTGGCAGATCCCATGATTCTCTCCGCTGTTCTGATTATGTGCTGGACTTTGGCTTGTTCTTGTGAGGTGGAGGAACCAAACCAGATGGTTATGGATGATGTGAGGGACTGTGTAGAACTAGATTATCAGGCTCTGTGACAGGTTGAAGTTCTTCAGCTGTCTCAGGAAGAATGTTCTCCACTGGGCTCTTTTGGTGATGGAGAGTGTGTTCCTCTTTCACTTCAGGTTCCTAGATATGGTGGTGCCCAGGAACTTGAACTCCCCAGTGAAAACCACAGAGCTGGTGATGTTGTGGGGAGCTGCACCGGAAGTCCGCCATCTCTACAGTCTTTTGCTTGTTGAGCAGCAAGTGGTGGCCACGGTATATGGTTCTATATAGTACCAAAAAAGGTTCTTCTACTGTTACAAGCTTGACTTGTAGCAATGGAAGATCCTTTTTGGTGCTATATAGAACCCTTTTCGGAAAAGTTAATATATAGGACCACCTGTAGCACATTCTCCATCAATCATAAAGAACTATTTCACCATGCAAAGAATCCTTTAATCATGCACAGGGTTAGTTGAGTGTTCATGGTGTTATATAGAACCATTTTCTTTACTAAAGAACCCTTATAGAACCGTCTTGTTAATATGTAATGGAGCGAGTCTGCCGTGTGTTTGTTTCAGTCTGGCCGCTGCAGATGCAGTGCTACCATTGCGAGGAGACACTCCTGAACAACGACTGCTCAGCCGCCAAGTTCATCGTCAACTGCACGGCCAACATCCAGGATGCCTGTCAGAAGGAGGTGATGGTGGGCGCGCACGGTGGGTTTCATTTTTTATTTACTACCTTCTCTCAGACGACAATAAACTCAATCAGCCCCCACCGTCTATGAATACCTGATGTTCTCATTCAGAGCCCTCAGACTGATTGAGGTTGGAATATAAATCACTCATGAATATCATCCCCCTCTCTGCACCGTTAGACGGCTTTTTCTTTAAGAATCTCCTCTTCTGTTCAGTGAATGCAACCAAATGACATTCAGCATTGTGATGATACTGTCAGACCCCCAGTCTTTCAAACCACAGCAACTTTAAAGAGAAATTCCACTGATTTTTGTTCAGAGTGGTTCAGAGTGGTTTGGTGTGAAACACTCCGTTCTAGATAAACTTACTGAGTCAGAATTGTTCACAGTGGTGGTGAAAGCAACCAGACATCCACCTCTAAAAGCTCCTTCACAGAAAGTTATTACATGAAATGATTATGATTACACTGTCTGCTGAGACAGTCAGTGTGTTTACTTGCACTTGATAATCTGATAACCGCAGAGAATCAGGCTGTGTCAGTAACTGGTTCAGTGTGTTTACACTTAATAACCTGATAACTGTACGAGATCAGATTGTGTCAGTAACTGGTTAAGTCTGATTTCATGATCTTGGGTAATCAGATAATGGGGAAACTCCAGGTCTACATGAGTCAGACAGTAATCGGATTTCTGCTTTACAACTGGCTAATAAACTCACAGAATAAGCCGTGATGTAAATGTAACATAAAACTTGTTTTTTAAAACATCAAGTCACTTGATGAACATCAATCATCCAGAAGATGAAGAATATTTAAATCCTTCATTTGGTCGAGGATGTAGTCGGTTTTAGCGTCACTCCAAAAGTGTTGTGCTGTGTCTCGCGGGTGCTGTGTTAAACGCTGCTTGTTGTTTCCAAGACAGCACTCTGTTTTCACACATGCGCAGACTGAGAGAAATAAAAGAAATCAGAGTGAAGGTTTACATGCACTGAAAAGCCTCATCACTAAGCTCAAATCCAGCCACTTTATCAGATTTCTTAATCAGATTGATAGACCTTAATCTGATCTAAGAAATTAGTGTGTGCTGTTTACATGATCACTTAATAATCAGATAACTGATAAGTGCCTGTAACCACACTCAGTGCTTTACAGTAGTTTTGAGAAGATTTTGGCCTTATAATCCATTCATGGTGGAGTGATACATACTATGCAGGGTGCTGTGAGGCAAAATAGTCCCCAAAGAAAACTTTATTATTTCAGATTTTCTACTGTTTTACCATCATTCCATATCAGTAACATTCCATATACAACTCAGAAGATGTGTTGTTTAAGTTTTGAGATGTACCATTCAGTCCTGAGTCCAGAGAGCTCGTTTTGAGTTTACTGTTTTTGTGATGTCATAAAAATCAGTGCATATAATTATATACACCTATTCAGCCTACAGCAGTTTAGCTCTGCCCCTTTGCAATGAGAGTTTCAGCTTCGACTGCTTTTTGAATAAGGCAGCCAATTAGAATAGATCTCATTTACACACTCACTGTATGTCTAAACGTTGCTTCTGAAATTAAGGTGTTAATAGTGAATTTGTGCTGCAGTAACACCCACATCTTCTGGGAAGGCTTTTCACGAGATGCTGGAACATTGCTGTGAGAATTTGATTGAGCATTTATGAGGTCAGGTACTGATGCTGTCCATAGCCCAATGCTGGGGGGCTTTATACCCCTCTAGCCGACACTTGCATTAAGCATAGTGACCTTAGGATCATGTGCAGCTGCTGCAGAGCTAATGCAGATTAAATGAAAGCTAATGCAACTTAAAGTAGCTCAATAGAAGATCTGTCTGATGCTTTTGGACAGATAATGAACCACGCTGGTAACTGTGGGAGTCACATAGGCTGTTTAACTCTATTTTGTCTAGAGTTCGACTGAGGATTAAATGCACAGAACTGCCCGTAGTGGGCATGGAGTTAGCATCACGCTAATTGGTGGCGCATAAACTTCCATTACTTGTTAGTTACATTATCATCTTAGCTCCAACTACAGAAGCAAACTTGATACACCAAACGTGTCTTGGCTGATCACCTATTTGGGGGAAACTGGGAGAATCAGATTTAAAGCGTTCTTTTGACTTAGGAACAGGCATAATAGTGACTTAAAGGAGAACTCCACCAATTTTCAATATTTCTAATTCAGTAGTTGCGATGTAAACAGAGCGACTCAGAGTGGTTTGGTGTGAATTGGTTCAGATTTCTTTAATGTGGTGGTGATAGGAGTCGCCATGACTACAACACAAATATAGACATTTGCTATCCAAAACCACCAGTGAGCCTACACACGTCTTCTGAGTTTTATATGGAATGTTGATGATAGGAAAACAGTGGAAAAACTAGAATAGTATGTTTTCTTTGGGGACTACAATCTTCTCAAAACTACTGTAAAACAATGTGGGGAAGCATTTTAGAGGCGGACATCTGGTTCCTATCACCACCACTGTGTGCTCCCCTTTAAAGGGAGCAGGTTGTTGATTTTAAGAAAAATCTTGTTTCGTGGTCCTCAGGTGTGTCATACCGCAAAGCCTGCGCCTCGTACACGACCTGCCTGATCGCGTCGGCCGGCTACCAGCCCTTCTGTTCCCCCGGCCGGGTGGGCTCCGTCTGCATCAGCTGCTGTAACACTCCTCTGTGCAACGGTCCACGGCCCCCCCGCATCTCCAAGGCCCACACGTGCACTCCACTCAGCCTCGTGATCCTCCTGGCCCTCGCCGTTACTATGGCAACCCTGTCTGCAATCTTGCTGTGAGCGACAGCACAGCACGAGGATGCTTCGGAGCAAAAACAACCGGTCGCTGTTGACCAGCAGGTTTGAACAAACAAGCAGATGCCTCGGCGTCCCAGTATAACCCTCAAACATATGAAAGTGCTCTTTCCAAACTCTGATGTTGATGCTGAAGAAGTTGAATAACCACAGTGTAAAACAGGCAGCGGAGTGGAACTTTGTCCCGGTTGAAAGATGAATTTTACTGCAGCTCTGAAGATCTTGGTTGTGGTTGAGCTCACATCACATGTGGCAATTTTAGACCTAAAGGGCCCATATCATGCACCATCATCCCCCAGTCCATAAAGTCCATATATGGAAACTAAAGCCTTGTTCGGACAGCATTAGTTGTCCATGATGAGGTGGGTAATGTCAGGTTAGGACGTTCAGGACGTCTGTAATGCTTATGAGTGATTCACACAGGATAGTGTCCCATTAGCATCGCCATTAGCCTGAGAATTGACTGTAAACGGTCAACTTCACTGTGTAAAATCAAACTTTTTTCTGAATTTTTTACCTGTTCCTAGTTGTACACGTGAAACAGGAGCCATAGAGCACAGTGAGGGTGAAGTTGGCTTCCTATTCGCCAGATTCTTGTTCAAATTTTCCCGTTCCACCTTAAATGGTGCAGCAGTTACATTCTGGCACCTCAGGTGTTATAATAATAACTGCCATACCATTTAAGGTAGAACAGAAAAATTCTAACAACAAGCCATAAGTAAGCACTTCTTCGAGCCTCCAAATCTAAGAAACTCCTTTTTCACAGAATATGATAGCATTTTTATGAACATGACGATTTGCACGGGATTAACAAAGCCTGAGATTATTTCTACTGCTCATTGTATAGAAGGTAAAAGGTGCCAGAATTTTTACTGATGTGAGAGCATGCAGTTCTTAAAAATAACTGACATGGCGCAGTTGGACAGGACTAAAATCACTGAGAAACATGTAAAACTAATCCTGTCTGAATGGAGCTTAAGACCCTGTTCACACTTAGTATTAATATCCGTCTCAAGTGATCTGATCATAAGTGGACAGGAGTTGTACAGACTAGTGGACGCTTTGATCTTGATGTTGACTAGTCGATGATCACGTGATTATGACACTAACAACATGTATGCCTCAGAGAAGACAGCAGATGAGGAGCCTGGTGATTTTAGGGTCTGTATCTCGGGTCTCCTGAAGGCTAGCAGTGCAACCCAGAGCTCGTTGAAAAGAGCACATCATTTGAATGTTATCACCTCTGGTTTCCTGAGAACTACAATAAAAAGTCCTATGTGGTTGGTTGGAGGCATGACGCCCTGCAATCCTATACAGTTTGAAGTCAGTTACTCTTATTTTCGTCTTATTTAGACCTGGCGTCTCAGCAAGGCCGCTGAAGTTGCGCCTCAGTTAGACACACATTTCAGGGTCTATCACCATCTACCCACCTGTGTAGTTTGGCTTCATCACAGATTTTTAAAGTCGCTTGTCACGTTCCCTTCTCCTGTGGTTTAATTTATAACATCAACGATTAAAACAGCGACTCAACTTCACAAAACTGTCCACTTTAAAAAATCTCAAGTCATGCAGCCCCTATAAGTGGACAGCAAGACGTGTAGCCATTCACACATGGCATTTCCGTGTGTCTTGAATTCATCTCCGGTGATCTGATTTTGTGACTGAAGACTGAGAAGAGCCTACTCACATTTACTACATCTCACTGCGTTTGTTTTCAGACAAAAATCTGCCGCGAGTACGAAGATGCATCAGTAAGCTTCAGCGTAAATGTTGTGGTCATGGGCGTCCCTGACCACCTCTGAAGGTTGTTTAAGTGATCAGATCACGTTCACACCTGCACTCAGTGCTGTCCACTTATGATCAGATCACCCAGCACACTCGTTAACAACAAGTGTGAACAGGGCCCAACATGCCTGTTTTAAAGTCACTGTTTTTGTGTTTGTCACAAACCACATTTACATATATCTGTCTATTCACTCTACAGCAGTTTATCTCTGCCCATTCACACTGTGCTTTTTAAATTGGCGGCCAGCCAATCAGAACATAGTCCATTTACATATATCAGTCTTAAAGGCACAGTCTAAATGTTTACTTATAAGGGATAAAGAGAGATTGAGATTTCACACCATACACTCTTCTTCAAGAGTTCTTTAGTAAAGACAATGGTTCTATACAGAACCACGAACACTCAAAAACCCTTTGCATGATTAAAGGCTTCTTGGCATTGTAAAAGGTTCTCCAGACTGATGGAGAATGTGTTCTGGGCGGTGCTATATAAGACCAAAAACGGTTCTTCTATTATTACAAGCTTGACATCGTAACAACAGAAGAACCCTTTTGGTGCTATATAGAACCTTTTTCAAAAAGGTTCTACATAAAACCATCTACAGCACATTCTCCATCAGAGTTTTTGAGTGTCCATGGTTCTGTAAAGACCCATTTTCCTTACTAAAGAACCCTTGAAGAACCTTCATTTTTAAGAGTGTGGTGGACTGCTGTACACTAATTTTTGCTGCTTTTATGTGCACATAATAACATTTGTAAGAAGAAATTTCTTCTTAAAACCCACTTACAGAGTTTTCACAAAGATCCTGACATTCTTATTTGGGATTTGCTCTAGATTCTTGAACAGAATCTACACACACTCGAGAGCAGAAAGGTGAGAAGAGTTCTGCGCTTTAAGAATACGTCATGAACCTGACATGGACCTTTCTCAAGAACACATTTAAGAACAAACTTAGGAAGATGTTGGAGAATGATGCCCAGTGTTTGACATGTGGTGAGAACAGCATTCTGCTTAGAACGTATGATTTATAATTGCAATGTAAAAGGCAGAATTCTTTGAAAATAGTAGTGATGGCTGAATACTGAACATATTTTATTACAAAACATAATAACGTATTCAGAATACATTTAAAATACATTTAAACAAGGCAGATGGGGAAAGATTTGTAACTGGGCAATCACAGTGATTTATCAGTCTACTCAGGCTTTAGCAGGAACTTCTTTAGAGTACAACTTTACACAGCGTGCTGATTTTAAAATAGTTAATAGTCAAGCACTGGTGTTTCTTTTAAAGATTTTTTCTTTATTTTGTAAAGGGGACCTATTATGCTCATTTTCAACATTAAGAATTTTATTTTAAGATCTACTAGAATAGATTTACAGCTTTCAAAAACATTATTTTTTTTCCCATACTCTTCATCTCTATTAAGCTCCTGTGTCTTTGAGCCCCACCTCCTGATGAGCCCAGTGTGCTGATTGATCAGCCTCCAGAGCGGTTCCACCCCTCCACGTTCCGCCCCTGTCCTGCAGTCTGCAGACAGACCCTTCTCTCCTGAGCAGCTGTAAACTCCACTGTGGCTGTTTCTCCAGTGGCGTTGGTTCTGCTGTATCAGTTTGATCCAGAGTCGATCCTGAAAGTCAGGTCAGCGTCTTCTCCACACAGCTACAACACTGACCACACTTTTCCTCCTGCAGTAGCTGCTGTGTGCTGCGTGGGGGCATGCTGTGCTCACCGGTAGGCGGGCAGTAAGGACTGTGTTACAAGATTGCGTCATCTTGTAACAAAGGAAAAGGGCTGGAATTCCAACGAGGCGTTTCAGGCAGCTGAGAAAAGTGGTTTCTGTGGGAGAGAGTATCTCCCTCTGGAGGGAACACAGAGCTTTGTGACTTTGCAGAACATTTACATGCACAAAAAGGTACAACAAACTAAAGGAAAGAGGAAAAATTCTGAAAAGCATAATAGGTCTCCCTAAGTATTCTAAAAGTATTCTCCTAAAATGTAAAAAGTAGGTGAATTCTGAATACAGCCTTTACAAAACATAACTTAGACTGAATACAGATACTTCATTTCTCTATTCCGAATACGTATTCCCAATACTTGTATTCAGTTACATCCCTAACCAGGTAATAGATTATGTCCCATACAGTTATAGTCAATGCGGCATGAATTGAACAGTTTTGCACAGTAACGAAGAAAACTTTGAGATGTGGTATATAAGAGCTTTACTGTGAGGAGAAGTAACTGTGTGGATGAAATAAAGATTTTAATAAAGCTTCTAATCTGATGTTCCAGCTGAAGAGCATGAGGACCATCCTGCAGGCCCTGTGGAGGTAACAGCTCTTTTCAGGGCGCGTTCCAAGTTTGCGAAATGTTTCAGTCTGTTTTTCAGTGTTGGAACTGAACGTTGATGAGCTGGAACTGATCCATCCAGCATTGCTTTAAAACGGTTGCATTTTTAACTGTCAATCTTTTCTCTCAAAGCCAACCTTCTTTATTTTTTAATTCATGTGCAGTGCTTGGACCCCAAACCCTGCCTTTCTACAGTCATATTATTACTGAAGGTCACCTTTCACCTTTCAGGTTAACTTTCCTGCAGATACAGTTCTAGATCTGTCTGTGGCTCTAGATTATACCTATATATCCTAATTGGTGAACTGCTCCTAGAATACAGTTAACTCGGGTTCTTTAGTAAAGGTGATAACACGAAGAACTGTGATCATTCTTTGCATGGTTAAATTGTTCTTCTCTTTGATGGAAAAGATGTAAATGTGTCAAATAATCTTTTTAAGAATGGATCTGTACAGCACCATAAAGGGTTCTGCTGTTGTTGTCTTTTTATTTCTGAATGCATGAAACTTAATAACAGCTCAGAACAGTTTGTTTTCCAGTGTGAGATTAAGGGGGCTCGATTAGCAGAAATGGCATGTAGTAAAAAACGTTTTTATTGGTGTATAATCACCTGTAACTATGAATCACTGCGTTTTCATTAGCTTGAAATTAGCACATTTAGAGCACTGCAGTGACACTGACGTGGTGGTGGTGACGGCGTGTTAGTGTGTGTTGCGCTAGTGCAAGTGGATCAGACACAGCAGTGCTGCTGGAGTTTTAAACACTGTGTCCACTCACTGTCCACTGTATTAGACACTCCTATCTTGTTGGTCCACCTTGTAGATGTAAAGACAGAGGCCATTGCTCATCTGCTGCTGCACAGTTTGTGTTGGTCATCCTCTAGTCCTTCATCAGTGGTCACAGGACGGATGTTTTTGGTTCTGAGTCCAGCAGCGACACTGAGGTGTTTAAAAACTCCAGCAGCACTGCTGTGTCTGATCCACTTGCACCAGCACAACACACACTAATAGACCACATCAGTGTCACTGCAGTGCTGAGAATGACCCACCACCCAAATAATGCCTGCTCTGTGGGGGTCCTGACCATTGAAGACAAAGTATGTACAGAAACAGATGGACTACAGTCTGTAACTGTAGAACTACAAAGTGCTCCTATATGGTCAGTGGTGCCGATAGAATGGACAGTGAGTGTAGAAACAATGAGGTGGACTTAATGTTATGGCTGATATGATAACCATATTATGTTATCTTACAATTACTGGCAAAAGCTCTTTATAAACATTCTTTTTAAACACATTATTTATTGCATAAGCATGTGTAATGAAGTTCCAATGTATTAAGCAGGCTGAACATTAGTATGATAATCCAGCAACCATTGTCAAACATTTGTACGGAAAACATTGTCACCGGTGACTGATGCTGGTATTTATCCGTGCCAACACTCTTTCACTTAAACAGTGATTCTATCCAGGCAGTCAGCCACCTCATCATGTAAACAGCAGCAAATAATTACGATTCTGGCCCAAAACAAATCTTACCTGCCAGTGAGTGTGCATTTCTGTTCATCTCATTACAGACACTGAATAAACTGCAGTGGATAAACTAGTGAGGCCACATAAAGATTAATTCAGCCTTTATTACACAACAATGGCAAATGTATTTATCGTAGGATGACCAAACAGAGGATATAAGCTCAGAAAATGGTAATGTGAAGGTCTAAAATTAGATGTCTTCTCAAAATAAGGACAAATCTGATTTACACAGCTTGCTAACATTACATGAATTACAAAATGAGTAAGAAACTAGTTTTCAATGCCTTACGTTAGCTTTCCTTTCCTGTTGAAAATAGTGCTTTCTGGAGAAGAAGTGTTAATCACATTTCAACAAGATGTTGTATCTTGGCAAAGTCTACAGGCCTGGATACATTACTAAACCATTGAAATCTCATGAATGTCTCATAACTTAGACATGCGAGTTTGTCTTCTGTAAATAATATTCTCCTGTTCTCTAGGCCAAAAGCACAAGCAGATCCGCTTTAAATATTATAATAATCTGAATCTGTCTTATTGTCACCCCGTGGGCCTCAATTACATCATTTTCTCACCACACATTGTCAAAACTGACGTTTCTATAGTGTATCTAGGTCCATAGTCCATAATCACAGCTTATCATCAAGAGCTTTTTCCTTGAAGATGGCAATAGATTGGCAGAGATAAAGAATCTGCATGAATATTAGTCATATGGAACTCAAACGATCTGTGGCACTATTTATTATCGTTAGTCAGCAGGAAGTTCAAAATACAACCTGATCAGTAGCTACATTATCACCAGTGATGATAAACACGCCCCTCAAAGCCTGAGTGCTGAACTTCGTAACATTGGCATATACAGCAGCTGCAATAGTAAGAAAAATGTGACGATCGATGGCAATAATGGGAGAAATTCACCCTGTGTGACTGAATATTGGGGGGAATGGGAGAAAACTTCAGTAGCTGTAATAAAAACAATTAAGCAAAACTTTAAGAAAGTAGTGAGCAGCTGTTTTATCTGTTACAACTGACTTGTCAAATCCTTCACAATATTTACAATAAGAGGATTAAATTTACTCTACCTTGCCTGTTTAACTACGAAAAAGTATCACATTTTAAGCATTAATGCAAGTCAGAGGAAGGATATGCGAAAAGAACTTAAGAACTTTTATGCCTGATCAAAAAAATCTGCCTCTATAGTTTTAAATGAACTAAAAAAAATGAATAAGAATAAAATAAAATAAAAAAAAATCAACAACTGTAGAGACCTTCAAAACATTATACCAAAGTCACATCTGTCAACATTACTACACAGCCTAAATCCATGATTCTCAAACAAAATTAAGACAACATACCAAAGTACAAAATCAACAGAATTGGATTCATAATTAAGATGTTAGGTTGGACGCATCAGACACTTTCTGACGCAAACAAATCACAGATTTTTATTATTTTTTTCTAACTGTCCAGAGTCAGTCTACTTCTTCTCCTTCTTCTTGTCCTAGAAACAAATAGAGAGGAAAATATTAATAAATAAAATTGCATCTAATATACAACCCAACTACTTTTACATTTCACAAACAATCATGTTTAAAGCAACTCCTGTGTCTACAATGTACATCAAGTAGGGGCTGCACGACTCCAGATTTTTTAAAGTTGACAGTTTTGTGATGAAAAGTGAGTCGAGGTCGACTAATTGCTGATGACATCACAAAAAAAAACAACAGGAGAAGGAATGCTCTGCAACTTTAAAATCTGTGACAAAGCCACATGTCAGTAGAGCGAGACACCTTTCCAAAGAGCCCTGAATTGCACTGCTGGCCTTCAGTGTAGAGATGGGACCGATCCAATCGTATATCGGTATCAGGTCCAATATTGACGTCATTCACTCATCAGATAACCGACAGACAGGGCTGATCCACTTGCCAGTCAATATTCCAGTCCCTAACATAACATAACATAACATAACATAACATAACATAACATCATAACCGATCCAGATTCCATTTCATATCTTACCATGAACCCACAGAAACTTCAGTCTGTAACTGAGTGAGCAAATAACATTAGCTGTTGGTTTGACTAAAATGTGAAGATATTTTAGTCTAGAAATGCTGAAAAGCAGGACAGCTACTTGTAATGTGGGGTGGAAGTATGGCTGCGTCGTACATACAACCAGTTTAATCAAGCACCTGCAGAGGTTTCATGTGAAAGAGTACCAGGAGTTTATGCTAGCTAACAAACAGTAAGACACTGCCAGGCAGCGAAATTCGCAGCCTGTTGAAGCTCTTAGAGCCCAGGCATAATCTGCCATCCAGAAAATACATTACAGAGATTCAGAAAGCGACGCAGTTAGCTAGATCTTAAAACCATGAGCTTCACAACTAATAATTGGACCTCAGATGTGAGTCCAGTGTCTCTCATAAGTCTCACTGCACACTGGGTGAAATCGTAAACACATGCACTACAGAGTGTGGTGCTTTAGGTGAAAAAGTGCAGAGGGTCACACACCAGCAGTTCAGCTGCAACCACCATTACAGATATTACAGATATGCTTAGTGACTGGAAGATTAAACACCTTAAACACAACCTTAGACACAATATCAACAACAATAATAATATTAAAGTAAAAAGGCTTTTGTATCAGAATCTGTATTGGTATCAGCAATTGTGTATTGGAATCAGATCTGAACTAAAAATGTATATCGGGCCCATCACTACTTCAGGGAACCGGAAATACGAACCCTAGAATCGTACAAATTTGTTTCCGACCTAGGTGCACCCTAGACAGCCTTGCACCGGAGGTCCAGAGAGCCAGAAAAATTTAGAGCATCATAACTCTGCGAAAATAAGAGTAACCGACTTCAGACTGCACACGATTACAGGGCTTTATGCTCCCTCTCCAACCTCACAGGACTTTTTATTGCAGTCTTCGGGAAAATGGCAATAATAATGTTCAATTTCTGATCTTTGAAGCTCTGTAGATCAGAAAGAAATGTCAGAATGAAGCCACAGCTCAGTAGAGCATCATGTGCCCTTTGCTAGCCATCAGGGAACCAAAGATACAGACCCCGAAATCACCAGACTCCTCATCCGCTGTCTTCTCTGAGGCATCCATGTTGTTAGTGTCATAATCACAGGATCAGCGACTAGTCGACATCAAGATTAAAGCATCATCACCAAGAAGTGAAGTCGACTAGTCTGTGCAGCCCCTAACATCCAGCATCAACACAGTGCGGGAAAGCGTATTAGAAAAAGTACCTTCTCATTCATAGCAAGGATGACCATGAGCTTTCTGAAGATGGTCACAAAATCCAGGAAGAGATCCACGCAATGCCTTCATGGAAGAGGAGCAGGAGAGTCACATTAAGGGGCATAAAAGTTAATTTGCAAAATCATCTAAATTCTGAAATCTTTGCAGCACTACAAAAAGATCACATGCATCATATATGTTATTATAAATACATATTATAAATTGTCACATTCATGTATATTTCTTATTTATAAGGGCTGTTACACACCAAACAAGACACAAATAAATGACACAAAGAAAAAAAAGGATTTTTTTAATACGCCAAGTTGTTCACACTGAATAAACTGCGCTAAGTGTGTAAAGGCCGTAAGACAGGAAGAGAGGTTTCCTCACCAAATGTAATCCTTGTCTCCCATTTCTGCCTTCTCAATGATGAGCTGAGTGTCAAACAGCACAAATCCACACATGATAGCCAGACCGATGTAGACATGAGCCTAAGGTGAAAACAAACATGGAAAAAACAGATTAAGGCCCAATCCCTATAGGGTGTCCCGATTCTTGTTGACACAGGGGTAGGGTGAAGTGTTTGGGCTAAATGGCCCTCCAAACTGAGGTTTTTCCAGAGACACACTCCAAATAGAATGTTACGAGGAAAAAAGAAAAACTGGCAAGATGGCTGCGCAAGCAACCAAAGAAACCCACAAATGTGAGAATTTTCTGTTTGTATTATCTTAGTTTAATGTTGTTTCAGTGTGCTATCATTCAGTCTGCCTTTCACCTCCTTCCATCAGCGCCACCGATCAGTGAGCTCCCACACCATCAATTAAAATATAAATGAGTGGTGTTTCAGACATGGAGTAAAAATTAAACATCTCAAACAGAAATTTTAAAAACTTTAATTTATACCTTGAAGAGCATGACGGAGCCCACAAACATGTTGAGGACAGAAACCAGCAGCAGAATAGACAGGGCCGACATCAGAGTGCCTTAAAGAGAAGAGGACAAATTAAACCTGACAGTGAATTACTGCCTTTATTGTGACATGTTGATGAGATTCTTGAACACAAAGCCTGGATAAACAGCATTTTTATCACATCAATGTCAGAAAGCAAATGCAAAGTAAGACTAGACTGACTATAATCACAACACAGATTAATATCTTAAAACCTAAAATGAAAGACAGGCATTCCTCACCTCCCAGGAACAGGTAACTCCTACGCTGAGCGTAGAGGGCACTCAGAGTGAAACAGGTGAAGATGACTGAGGTACCCAGGAAAGCAGTCATGATGATGCTGCACAAACAGAATAAATATAAACAAGGTGTGGAAGTCAATGACAATTACTATAAGGAATTAATAAAATAATCAATATGCTTCATCAGGATGACGCTGAGTTCTTCCACATTTAATTTGATATGTGTAGCTCAGTTTGAGCCGCTTTTGGAGATTCTGATCTTTTTGTGAAAAAGTTCTATTTGCTGCTCTGTCTGCTTGGTTGTTGTCATGCCAACAGCAGAGGCGACCGTGATTGGTCAGTGAGTTTTTGTCGGTGGTGGAAGTTTTAAGAAATCACACAGAGGGTGAATAAAATAATGCTGCATTTTTGCCGTCTGAAAAATCGCGTTTGCAAGACATCAGTTATACACATGCTCGAATTAATTTACTGTCGTCCAAATAAATTACACATATAAATCACATTTAGTCTGTAAAGGACTTTAGCTGCAACGGTGTGTTAAACCGTGGAGGCTGTACTTTAGCCTGTCTAGCTCTCACTGTGAACTGTTCATCTGCTTCTAAACGCTGTTATAGTACACACACCAAGAAGAGATTAAAATAATATTGGAGTGAATTCTGTACAGCCCAGACACTAGTCACAAACACTCAGGATGAAAAAATTACTATTAAAAACAGTCTTCAGGGAGAATCTGTAGAAACATCTGACTGACTACTATCAGAATTCACAGATGACGTTGCTATGGGAACATGAGAGGATGTATGTCCTAGTGGAACCTGTTTAAATAGACTCGTAAAAAGATGCTTCTTCAAAGGTTCTTTACAGCAGAGCTTCACTGCCTCTGAGTTACAGCTGCTCTACTGCACCACCTGCTGGAGAGAAGCTCAGCTGGTAGCTTTAAAGCAGGGTTACCTTGGGTTGATTTTAATGACATAATCCAATGCAGGGCCAAGTCCAACACCTGCACCGAAGATAGAAAAACAAAAGTGTAAAATGCACATCATTATTTTCTCTGGTAAAATGATACTTATGGGAATATATGAACCACTTTAAACATATTTTAAAACCATTTTGATTACACTGACACAGTAAGTCACTCAAATGAGACACTACAATAATTAACTCTAGGGTTTTGCTACTTATTTTGTTTAATAGACACTATTTTTCCTTACTCAAGTTTTACTCCATCAAATAAATTTATATGTGATTTCTTTCTGATTAATGTTTACAACACTGTTAAATTCTCTTTGGTGTAATTTAAAGAGAAGAAAACACTCAACTCATTTTTAACTTTTCAGCTTTATTAATGATAACTTTAGGTTATTAACGCTAATTTATTATCTTTATTAATGCTGACACTTAGTTTATTAATACTGACTTCATTATATTTTAATGCTTGTTTATTACCTTTATAAATGCTAACATTCAATTTAATAATGATAACACTTTATTAATGCTAACTTATTCTCTTTATTAACACTAACTTATTGTTGTAATACCAACATTCACTTTATTACTGCTAAAATTCAATGTATTAATGCAAACTAACTGTATTAATGTTTACATATTACTTTTATTACTGTTAACTTATTCCCCTTCTTAATCCTAAGGCTCACTTTATTAATGCTAAATTATTGATATTAATGCTCATTTATTACTGTTATTAAATCTTAACATTCACTTTATTAATGCTAATGTATTCACTTTATAATGCTCATTTATTACCTTTATTAATGGTGACATTCAATTTATTAATGCCAACTTACATATGATCTGATAGTGTTTTTTTAGTGTCTCTTTTGTCTAATAAGCTCTTCTTTCCTTCACACTATCGTCAGTTTGGTGATCATCACAGCTATAAACCTTGGTACTGTGCTGGGCTGGTTGAGAGGTGGATGTTGGTCCTTTAATAAACCACTTTACTGACCTGTGAGGAAAGCAAAGCCAGCGAGGATACCCAGCCTCTTCTTCTCAGTCTGAGGGCTGTGAGGCGTCATGGCGAGCCAAGCCATCATGGCCAGAGATCCCAGCACGGAGAGCATCCCGCCCTGAGAGTTATACACAATAAAAGATTTAATTCAACAAACAAAAAAAACAGTCAATTGATTTAAATATGAACTTTTCATGAATGTATGCAATACAGGAATTCTGGATCAGTGATGTATCTACTGATGCTGCTGCTAACGCTAATACACCAACCAGCCACTTCATTCAAGTCCACCCCCTTGTATCTACACTTATTGTCCTTTTATCAGTTCCACTGACCATATGGGAGCACTTTGTAGTTCTACAGTTACAGACTGTAGTCCATCTGTTTCTCTACATACTTTGTTACCCTGTTCTATAATGATCAGAACCCCCCCACAGGGCCCCCCACACAGGTGTTACTTGGGTGGTGGATCATTCTCAGCACTGCAGTGACACTGACCTGGTGGTTGTGTGTTAGTGTGTGTTGCACTGGTCTGAGTTGGTTTCCTGGTACGTTAAATTTGCAACGAGAGACTGTCACACACTAAAAAGTGGCGAAGCTGAAGTCGCTTCTCTTTCGAACTCTCCCGTTCCACCTTAAATGGTGCCGCATTTACATTCGGCGCCTCAGTTAGAATTTAAGGTGGGACGGGTAAATTCGAACAAGAAGCTGGAGAATAAGAAGCGACTTCAGTCTCATAAAACAGTCGTTGAGAGACATTTTACAAGAAACTGATCTACTTCTGAGGAAAAGTTTTCTTGCGGAGATGGGAGGAAAGCGGCTATAGATAAAGCTTAAAAGCAGAGCGAAGTAAATCTGCGTTTTCGTTTATATTGTTTAGCCTATACTAGGACATTAGTACATACTGAGACATACTGGACATTAAATGTTGCGGCTCCCAAGGTGGTTTGATTTTTGTTGAAAGGACAAAATGGCTCTCATTTGGTTTGTGACTCCTGATCTAACCTGGCTTTTAATGCAGAGGGAGCCGGTCGGATTTCTCGCTCCTCCACTTGTGTTTTTGTTATGTGCCGCCACAGACTGTCCGGGCGCTGCACTTACCCACTTCCAAGTTCCGCCTTTTGCATTCCGTCAACATTACGTTATAAATTAAATATTTAGAAAATCGATTTTTGACATTTGTGAATCGATTCAGAATCGTTCACGTCCGCATCGCGATGCATCTAAGAATCGAGTTTTTCCCGCACCCCTACATCCAGCCAACAGCGTCCTGTGACCACTGATGAAGGACTAGAGGATGGCCAACACAAACTGTGCAGCAGCAGATGAGCCATGGTCTCTGACTTTACATCTACAAGGTGGACCAACAAGGCAGGAATGTCTAATAGAGTGGACAGTGAGTGGACACAGTGTTTGAAAACAGTGTATGCATGCTGCTGGAATGAGATTTTTGGTTTTTATTTTCACTCCCAAGAAAAAATAAGCTTTGCTTCCCTACACATGATTCTGTGGAACTGAGACATCTGTGTGAAAGTGTGTGCACACACTCAACATTGTGGTGTTCCAATTCTACAGGACTACAAATGTAACTAATTAACACAGCTAGATAGCAAGGTGGCCACTTTGGACTTGCACTTTAGTACACGCATATAATGAACAAGAAAAAACAAACCACAAACTGCAATTACTGATATATGAGTTAATCACTGGCTAAAATGTCATGATCATGACAGCCATTATTATTCCAAAAGGCTTTGGGGGTCATCACAGTGTTTTCTGGCAAATTTGAGATGAGCCTTTACTTTCCTCTTAGGTTCAAAGCCTTTTCACTCCTCGCCCCTATCACTTAGCCCTACCCCTTCCATTTTGCGTGCTCACGGGTACGGTATCCTGATTCTTGTTGATAGGGAGGGGAAGTGCTATGGCTACATGGGCTTCCGAACAGAGATTTTTCCAGAGACACACTCCAAACAAAGTGTATTGAGAAAAAAAAGAAAATTCAACAAGATATTTGAGCAGATGACCAAAGAAATGTGAGTATTTACTCCGTTAATAAAAATAACAGTAACAATTGTATTATCTTAGTTTAAAGGTGTTTTGATGTATTATGGTCCCTTTCTTCATAACAAGCTAAATAAATAAATAAACACACACACACATACATGAAAATAAATAAAATAAAATAAAAATAAAAATCACTAGTAGCGCTGATGTCTCAGTAGCTAGCCAGCTAAATTTCCCATCCCGTACCATTTAAGGTGGAACAGGAAAATTCCCCCTTTAAAAGGCATATGATGCCCTTAATGTAACTAAAGCCCAGCAGCGAGGTTGCTGAACTTCACCCTCCTCTGCTATCACTGCAGAGTGGCAGGGTCGCTAGTAGCCTGTTAATGAAGTACTGTTCTTTTTATATGAGAGTTGTTCCATTTCATAGGGAAGATTTCAGCCACGACCGCTTGTAACTCAGTTCTAAGGGGCCAGATGACACTCGAAAACAAGGGGTAGGGGTAAAAATAAAAAATGGGTTTGGGCCTCGGTAAGCAGTCTTGCAGCTCTCCCATGGATACCATTTTTGTCTAGTCTTTTTCTAAAGGTGGAATCACAAACAGCAAGGCCTACTGCTGTTCATCTGGGTTCTTTTGTGACTTCCTGGAGGAGTCGTTGCTGTGCTTTTGAGAGAATTTTGGTAAGCCTGCCACTTCTGGGAAGATGCACCGCTGCTCCAAGTTTTCTCCATTTGGAGATAATGGCTTTCATTGTGGTTCGCTGGAGTCCCAGAGCCTTACAAATGGCTCTGTAACCCTTTTCTAGACTGATTTATTTTAATAACTTTGTTTCTTCTGGACTCTCTTCAGATCACAGCATAACATGTTTAGTGTTTAGACTTTTTAGTCTACTTTACATTGCTGGAAAAGTTCCATTTAAGTGAGGTTTAGATTCAACAGGGCTGGAAGTAATCAAGCTTGGGTGTGTCCAGTTTAATTTATCCCAATTATCAACTAAATTGGGTTAAGTGATTGATTTGTGAATAGTCATTACTTTTTCTCCACCAGTTGGTGTTGGAAAACCTTTTTCCTTTAATAGATAAACGTACGTTAGCCTGCTTGAAAAGCTAGTCAAGAAGCAAAAAGACGGCTTGTAGCACAAGTTCTGTGGTATGTGACAGAAGCTTTAATCCTCGTGGACCTGAGAACATCTGAAAAAGATCTTACCTGAAAAAGCCTCAGGACAACATGGACGTAGGCCCCGGCTGCCGCCACGAACATACACACAGCTAAACTGGCGTAGACATTCTTCAGGTGCTGTTGAGTGGAACGGGAGCTAAAGAGAAAGACAGACAACAAAGCGGTTAAGAGAAATTAAGAAAAGCAAAAAGAGATCCAACAAGCAATTTAGAAAGACTGTATATCAAAGACTGTCCATGTTACGCTAAGACCTTTTGGGTGCTCGAAAATGCCATTCAGAACTAACAAAGTATTGTACTTTAAACATCACAATATAAAGGCTGTTTTTCAGTCATTCATTATTGTCTGCTGTTTAAAAAAATGTATTGAATCTAGGGCTGAAACATTTGACAATATCTATTATTTTTATGTACATATCTGTTAATACTGATACCAACGTCAACTTATAAAATGCAGAATGAATGTTGGACTTCTATCCATCTGGATTAAAAAAAAATCTTACTTTTACTTCTGTAGGGCTACAAATTATATACCTTTATTTAAATTTCTTTTACAGAGGTTTAAAGTCAGACAAACACAGAATAGATCCTCTTCTAAACTCATTCACACACAAAAAAATAAGAAAACTATTTTTCCCAGTAATTCTATTCCGTTTTAGTTAGCTTTGCAGTGGACATCACAGTTTTGATTTAGTTGTCAATTTAGTTAATTGCTAGTTTTTTTTAATTTTAGTAATAGTTTTATTAACTATAATTACCCTGCTACAAATGCAGTAAAATTAGTAAAATGCAGATATTTTAAAGCAATGACCCAGCAACATCTAAACATTTTGTTTTTCTGGAGTTCAAAATAAACATCAAATATCGTTTTGACACAGAATTTGCTGGTATAATTTAGAATTTAGAATTTTTTAGAATTTATTTCATCAATGACAGCAAGCCATCCTGGCCCAAATGCACCAAAACAGGCCCAAACCATGATACTACCACCACCATGTTTCACAGATGAGAAAGTTTTTAATGCTGGAATGCATTGTTTTCCTTTCTCCTTCTCATTTAAACCAAAAAGGTATATTTTGGTCTCTTCTGTCCACAAAACATTGGTTCAGTAGCCTTCTGGCTTGTCCATATAATCTTTAGCAAACTGCAGACGGGCAGCACTGTTCTTTTTTCAGAGCAGTGGCTTTCTCTTTGCAACCCTGCCATGCACACCATTGTTGTTCAGTGTTCTTCTGATGGTGGACTTTAACATTAGCGACTGTGAGACAGAAGTAGTTGATTTGAAAATACCCTGGGTTCCTTTGTGACCTCATGGACTATTACATGCCTTGCTCTTGGTGTGATCTATGTTGATCGACCACTCCTGGGGGGGGCGTAACAATGGTCTTGAATTTCCTCCATTTGTACACAATCTGTTTGACTGTGAAGTGGTGGAGTCCAAACTCCTTAGAGAGATGTTTCTGTAACCTTTTCCAGCCTGATGAGCATCAACAACTTTTCTTCTGAGATCCTCAGAAATCCCCCTTGTTCATGCCATTTAACACTTCCACAAACATGTGTTGTGAAGATCAGACTGTGATAGATCCCTACTCTTTAAATAAAACAGGGTGGTCACTCACACCTGCTTGCCATCCCATTGATTGAAAACACCTGACTAATTTCACCTTCAAATTATCTGCTAATCCTAAAGGTTTATATACTTTTGCCACTCTCAGATATGCAATGATGGATCATTTTCCTCAATAAATAAATGACAAAGTCTAATATTTTGTCTCATTTGCTTAATTTAATTCTAGATTTGACCTAGTTTTAGATCAAATTTATTAAGAAATATATTGTCACTTTCCAAAGAAAGTATCTCCAAAATAGTAACATTACAGGAGAAGGCAAAAACATCCTTACCTTCCAAAATAAAGTGATATAAAGAGATTTTATTCCAAGTAATTTCAGAGCATTTTTATTGATCCATTCATCATGAAACTTTTACACAACATAAAGGACAGCTGGTGTGTTGAATATGATATCCCTAATTGTCATTCCAAAACACAAAATGCAAAGTCCATCAGCAGTTCAAAGCTGACAGAGACACAGTTTACTTTGGGAATCATCCTCTAAAATAACAAACAGACCGAAGATTAAAGATTAACTAAAGCTCATGAAGGAGACTGGATCATTCGAATTTACTACTAAAAAAGCTGGACGCCCCATTCCAAATCCATCGGCGTTATTATGCTGTTGCCCCCCTTTGGGCTGTAACAGCCTTCACTCTTCTGGGAAGCTTTCTACAAGGTTTTTCAGTGTGTCTGTGGGAATTTGTGTCCATTCAGTTGAAAGAGCATTGAGGGGGAGTCAGACACTGATGTTGAATGAGAAGGCCTGGCTCACAATCTCCGTTCCAGTTTATCCAAAAGTTGTTCAGTGGGGTTCAGGTCAGGGCTCTGTGCAGGCCACTGGAGTTTCTCCACACCAAACTCATCAAACCATGTCTTTATGGGCATCGCTTTGTGCACAGGGGCTCAGTCATGCTGGAGCAGGAAAGAATCTTCCCCAAACTGCTGACACAAAGCTGTAAGCATGTAACTGTGTAAAATGTCTTTGTGTGCTGTAGCATTAACATCATCGTAGCATAACATCTACTAAACCCAGAATCATCCATCAGACTGAAAGATTGTGAAGCGTGACTTTTCACTCCTGAGAACACATTTCCACTGTTCCAGAGTCCACTGGAGGCGTGCTTTACACCACTTCAGTCGACGCTTGGCATTGTGCATAGTGATCTTAGGCTTGTGTGTAGCTGCTCAGCCATGGAAACCCATTTCATGAAGCTTCTGACACAGAGTTCATGCTGACGTTGCTTGCTCATTGTTTATGCAATGTCAAAACCAGCATACATACATATACCTGCCAATTCAGCCTACAGAGGCTTAGCTCCACCTATTCACACTGACGTTATAAGGACCAGCCTGGACTGCTTTTTGAATGAGGCACAAAACAGAGCTCATTTACATATATTAGTCCTCAAAGAACAGTTTAAAAATAAATAAATAAATAAAAAATAAATAAATAAATAAAATCTGTTTATTTCTAAGGGATACAGAAAGGTTAGAAAATGATCATGTAAAGTAAAAAAAACAAGTAACATGTAGGGTATGGGCCCTTTAACTGTGGAACTGGTTATGTGCACACCATACAAAAAAGGCACTAACTTTTGAAGATTATTGATTCCGCACAAGAAAATGACCGACCCCAAAACGTGCCACCTCATTACTAAATCTTCCTGCAGCATTGCTATCAGAGACCACAATCAAACAACAGCTGAGAGAAATAAAAACCATGTTTAGTGTAAATACTTACATCTGAGAGAATTTGAAGAGGGCATCAAAGTTGATGTTGCGATCAAACACGTTCATGCTTCTTACTTTTGGTCAGGGAAATAACCTAGAAATAAAAAAATAAACACGGTTAAGAGAACATCACAGTCAGGGAGAGTTGTTTTAAGTTGTACAAACTAAACAATAATGACTTTAGCACATGTGAAACTGATACTACATGATATTTATAATCAGGCCCAACTGATATATAACTGCCAGATAAAATGAGTGGCACCACTATGGGAAATGTGTGCTGATGCCTATATTTTTCATGTATATATCAGATACAGATACGTAAACACTTATTAACTGTAGAATTTGTGACTAAATCTACCTGAATCAGCATTACAGAGAAACATAAAATTTTTCTGTTGAGTTAAAAAATACAGTAAAATTAATAAAATAGCTAAACATTCTGCTCTTCTCGAGTACAAAAAATATATCATATAAATATTTCATATACTATGAAATATCATTCAAACCTAGACATCCACTGATAACATTATTAAGCAATTAACAGCCAATTCCCGATTTTGATATCGTTGGGCAATCCTAACAATAACATCTGCCAATACTGACTAATCTTGGTTTTACTAATGCTGACGGAAATGTCGACAACAATAATAATAGTGCATACGTGTGTGCTCACTAATAAGAGGGAGCAACCCGGCTACAGGAAACAGACATACAGTTTGCCAGAGAAATTATAATTATCATCTAGTTTACACAAAGCATTTATCCCTATTACAAACAAATGACATGAACGTTTAGGTGGCAACACAATATTTTATCATTATTGTGAAAAATCGTGTTATTGTGATAAACCGTATGCTTTTATGAGTAAATTGTGGATATGGTCAGGAAAACTGGAATGCATGTTTCATCACAGAGAGAGCAAAATTAGCCTTGGTTAATTGGGTTTAGTGCAGTGCTGGATGCTCAACGTTAAAAAAAATAAAATAAATAAATAAATAAAAAAATCACTGTTTTCAGGAGTTTTTGATGGCTTTTCTATAACGTGGCAATACTAGTGCACTGTGTTTGTACGTCAAAATATTGAAATAATAAATAATTAAAATGTCTAAGCATTGTGATTTCTATTTTTGCCATATCGTCCAGCCCTACATGAAGAAACATTTAACATCAAATAAAGCTCAGGACAAGAGCATATCAGTGCAGAAAGCATCAGACATTTCCACTTCTCACTTAAAGCACTTCTGTAATCACTTCACTCCAGCTCCTCTCCGGGTTTTCTATTTCCCGCTCCTCACTCATATGTCAGAGAAAGTGCTCGGCTCCATATGCTCCATTCTTATGATATTTATTTAAACATCATAAAAATAGACTTGAATGTATGGAGAGACTACACGCTTTAATTTTTATTATATACTTTATGTCTGTTATTAAATGAAAGAACCAGTTAAACATTCTGAGCTACACAGACTTTTTTCAGAAGGTTTAGTCTTGAAGTGATGGTCTAATCACAAGCTAGAAATCTGCAGAGCATAAACAAGCACAGGTGCTTTTAACCTACTCTTCTTTTTCATTCACAGCAAAATGGATGACGCAACTCTGTGATGTCTGTAGATGCTGTGATCGTATCATTTCCAGTCTACAGCTCTGCTGATCAGCTCCGCAGAGCAAACACTGTATCTGAACAGTCATCGTGTGTGAGCTGTAGAGTCACCACTGCATCACTTATGTCACTCAGAGGCAGCCAGAGTGGACAAAAGGACTGTCTGGCTCGCGGGCGGAGCGACACTGGAACGTTTTTGAGAGAGAGAGAGAAAAAACACCAACGCTCCAACTTTCTGAAAAGCTGCTCAGAGTAAAATCACACGTGCTCTGACTCTGCACGCTCAGAACTGCTCACTCTGTATCTGCAGCTCTATCTGAGACCAAAGTTTAATGCAATAAAAAAAGTCCAAGGTAGAACGTAATCCAATCGAGACTGTGCTGAGCCTGAGCAAGGTTAGCCTCAGAGCTTTGATCCCCAGGGCATGTATGAACACATCTGGTAAAACATTGCATTTTAATCACATTTTGGTATAACATCTGATAATAATAATAATAATAATAATAATAACAAAAACAAAAAAACTACCTACATAGCCATTCATTTAAAATGCAGTTCAAAGTGCTCAAAAAATTAGGGAAAAGACAAAAAAAAAAGTAGTCAAAAATTGAAAACCAGGATGACATTATTAAAAATGCAACAAAAATAAAAAAAATTTAAAATGTGTTAAAAAAGGAGTAAACAAAATAATTTCATTTTTGAAATTAAGTAAAATGCCAGCAGAAGTAAGCAAAATAAAAGCTAGCTACTCGCAATAATGAAGAAGTATATTTTGTTTTTAGTTGTTTTTTAAAATCAGTGATGGAAAGAGCATGGCAAATAATTATTGGCAATATGTTTCAGATCTTTGGTGCATAAAAACAAAAAGCTGCTTGACCACCTTTAAATGCAAATTTAAGAATATAGGCAAAAATCAAGAAAATGCCCTCAGACCACAGAGGGTTAAGCATGCAAATAGTTCTTTGAGCATTCATGGCTCTGTATAAAACCATTGTGTTTACTAAAGAACCTGTGAAGAACCATCTTTTTTTAAGATTGCAGGCTGTGCATGACAGTAGTCAAAGCACGCAAAAACAAAAGCACAGATCAATTTCTTGGTACAAAGAGAAACTAATCTTACACTTGCCTGATGGCAGTTTGTCAGATATAATTCCTTCTGAAACATCAGACAGCACAAACTGTAAACATGGGAAATTTAAAAGCCCAGCCATTTTTGCCATTTCACCACTATGCGCTGCAGCTGCAAGTATGTGGTTAGCAATATTAGACTGTGTCCGCGTTGTGCCCTGTGACCAGATTACAATCTTACATAAACCCACTTTCTATTTACCAACGATCACTTCAGCTCTGGAACCTGAATTAAAGGTGAACTTCACAGATTTTTCAAAATTACTGTATAATTAAATTGTTAACAATGTTGTTTGAAGCAGTTTGATGTGAAATGCTCTGTTCTAGAGAAACCTATGAATATGCTGCCTGTCTGAGAAGGTTTTGAGCTAACTTTTATATTGTTTAACTCCATTCATGGTGGAAGAATACATGCAGGGCACTGTGAGATAAAAATCCCCAATAAAACTTTTTGCTTCTAGATTTTCCAATATTTTACCATCATCAAAACCTGAGAGGACACGTGTAGGTTCAGTGGTGGTTTTGGATAGTAAATAAAATGTCTATATTTGTGTTGTAGTCATGGTGACCCCTGGCTCCTATCCCCTCCACTGTAAAGAAATTCACTCTATTCAAGAAACTTGTTTCACTTCCATTTCGATTCCGTCCCCAAATGTGGAACTGGACCTACGGTGTAACTAGCGTGTGGAAGTTAGGCCGCAGCAGTGAGAGTTATCAGGCTGCCTGACTGACAGTTAAGTTTATTTAGTTATATGCCAACCTAATTTTCATAAGTTAAGATCAAGCAGCCAGCTGACCACAGCAGCCTTTTAACACTGTGTCACTTTGGAATGTGGTTAGCTTTTATAGCATACAGTCAGACAGCCAGCCAACAACCACATAACTTAAAAGGTTAACCAAGTTAAACACTAAATGTACTAAAGAAATTTAAAAGGGAAATCCAACCATTTTATTTCTATATACCTCAGTGTGTGAGATGTAAACAAAGTGATTCAGAGTGGTTTGATGTGAAATAGTTCAGATTTCTTTACAGTGGTGGTGATAGGAACCAAAGGTCATCATGACTACAACACAAATATAGACATTTTATTTACTATCCAAAACCACCAGTGAACCTGTCTTCTGAGTTTCATATGGAATGTTGATGAAGGTTAATTAGTGGAAAATCTGAAATACACAAGATTTTTTGGGAACTACTCTGCCTCACAAAACCCTGCACTGGATTAAAATACATTTTAAAGGGCAACCCCACTGTTTTTTTTTTTCAAAATCCCTGCATAATTAAATTGTTAAGATGCAAACAGTCGTTCAGAGTGGTTTAGTGTGGAACGCTCCGTTCTAGCTAAACTTACCGAGTCAGAACTGTTCATAGAGATGGTGATAGGAACCAGATGTCCACCTCTAAAAGCTCCCTCACAGAAAGTTATTACATAAAATGGTTATGAATACACTGCCTGATTTTTGCGACATTGTTTTAGGACAGTTTTGAGAAGATTTTTTGCTCTAAAATCTATTCATCCAATAGGTGGAGGGATACACGCAGGGCGTTAAGAGGCAAAATTCCATATAAAACTCAGAAGACGTGTAGGTTCACTAACGTTAGCGGTTTTGAATAGTAAATAAAATGGCTATACTTGTGCTGTAGTCATGGTGACCCCCGGTTCCTATCACCACGACTGTAAAGAAATCTGAACCATTTCAGACCAAACCACTCTGAATCACTCTGTTTACATCTCAGCAACCGAATCATGTAGAACTTTTTTAACAAATCAGTGAAATTTCGCTTTAATGACATGGCATTTTAGCCTGCTTGCTAGCTCACGTCGCTACCTTTTACTTAGCCAAGCTAGCGTGTCTAAACCCAGATAGGCTAGCAGAATGTGTGGGAAAATGCAAACGATAGCGTAATATTGAGGTTGGCGAGGATTATGTAGGTCAGACAGCTTAGCTATTCGTTCTCTGAGCTCATCAGACCGAAATGGCAGGCTGTGTAACGCTAGCCTGTCAAACGCAATTCTATAACTTAATAGTTAGCTAGAGCTAGCCAGTTAGCAAACCGTATCTGTGGCTTGGGTTAACGCCCACATACTGCTCATACTTCTAGAATACTCCAGTCTGATGTAACTTCACGGTTGACGCTCCCCGCTGTTCTTTTTCACTCAACACTGTTGTATTATTAAATTAACATGCCATACACAAAATATGAGCATAGCAAGCTGCTACCAGTGTAAAGGTCCCCGTCTAATATACCCGCTAACGTAACCAAGCAGCCGGAGCTAGCCGCGTTAGCCCTTACTGACCAACTCACTGTTTTGGTAACCCTACTGCTAATGCTAACGCTACTGAGGCAGAAGCGGCGACGTTTCTCGAAATTTCTAACAAAACCAGAGTACAGGACGCCCTAAAACAATTTATCAGTGATGATAAAGTACAATCGATGCTTTACCAGAGAGAAATTCCTTCACTTTCGCTCCCGCCGATGTCCAACCGCCCGTTTTCGGCCTGTATTGTCAGGTTGACAAGCTACGTGTTGGACTCGCAGTTCTGTTGGAGGCGGATCTCTGGTTAGCATTACGTGTTAAACCTTGGACTGCAGACATTTAAGGTGGAACGCAAAATTTTAAGCCAACTTCTTCTCAATTGAATATTGGAAACTGTATTCTGAATACAGATATGAAGTATATGTATTCAGTTCGAGTTACATTTCGTAAAGGCCGTATTCAGAATATAGTTACTTTTTACATTTTTAGGAGAATACTTTTAGAATACGTACCTTCTTTAATTAAACATATATACTATCTTTTAAAGAAACACCAACGCTTGTTTTTTTTAAAACTATTTTAAAAATAAGCACGTTGTGTAATACATACTCTAATAAATAACTCAGTAATGGCTTCTTTACATACACTAAAGTTCCGAGCTCTGCTAAAGCCTGGGAAGACTGATAAATCAATGTGATCACTTATTATTCTCAGTGTTACTAAGCTCTGCTAAAGCCTGAGTAGACTGATAAATCAATGTCATCACGTATTAATCTCAGTGTCACTGAGCTCTACTGTAGCACTTCTGAAATGAACTACGAATTAAAAATACATAGCTGAAAGATTTTATAAAATGAAGCCCCAAAACATTATGAACTGTTTAAAGTGTTTTAGTCCTTCCTTATTTTGTCACAAGGATTTATATGATGCAAGAGGAAGTCTATAGGTTAGTTAGCTACAATGTCTATGGCTACAAGATAGCTAAATTGCTATGGATTAATAATTCAGGAAAGTATGATGAAATCGAGGATTTGTAGATATTTTTATTTGTTTAAAATAGTGATATATTGATTTTTGATATTTTACTGAGATGTCTTAACAAACAATAAAATTTAAGTATAACCAGGACAGAGAAAAATCGCTGATTCACCTATTGTGTAAACGGAAAGTTCTTGTACAGACGCTAGGGGTCAGTAATGAGCTACAGATCACTCAGAGCTCAGTACTGGATGTTTGATCTGAAAGTCCTCCATAGCAGTGAGGTCAAATTATATTCCAAGGTTTTATTTGAGACATTTTAGAATCAGAAGTATTTACATTTGTTGTAGTTTTTATGCTACAAAAACACGAATTCATTGACCAGAAAGAAACAAGGGTGTCTGTAACGTAACAATTATTTTATTTACTGTTAAATGAAATGAGCACAGCTCCATCACTTCATACACATACTCATAATAATAATTTTTACAGACAAGCAACCTGTTATTCTTCGTTATTCTTTATCAATGTGCTCTCTTCTCTCTAATGTATAAATAGCTGTGATTAATTACTGATGAAACTGAAAGAGCTGTGAAAATAAAAGAAATGCAAGAGCAGATTGAGATTGCTACTGAGTGCTGATTGGTTAGCATTACTGCTACTAAGTGTTGATTGGTTAGCGTTACTGCTACTGAGCGCTGACTGGTTAGCATTACTGCTGCTGAGTGTTGATTGCTTAGCGTTACTGCTACTGATTGGTTGGCATTACTGCTACTGAGTGCTGATTTGATAACATTACTCCTACTGAGTGCTGATTTGATAACATTGCTGATGCTGAGTGCTGGTGTTTTGCAGTTGTGTTTCTAAAATGACGGGAGAAATGTCCATTTCTGATTTCTTGCTGTGGTTAAAGGGAGCAGGTTAGAGGACTTTTAACTTGGCGGGTCCATCTGCACAGTTCCGTTACGCAGACGCTTAAAAGAGCAAACGTGACCAGCAGTAGCAGCAGCGGAGTGTCAGGCGTCATATACTGTATTAATCTTAGTTATCTCACAGTGTTAATCATCTACAGCGCGTTATTAAACAGGATATGGATGAAGAGGCGGATGAAGTGTTCCCCGCCGAGGATCAGTTATTTGAAGACAGTTTCTCTAAGGACTGCACTTTTAGCTTTTTTGGTCAGGAATGTAAAATTAATCAGTCTTTCAGTGCGAGTCTCGGTGTAGCTGCTTCAGTTTGGGACGCAGTAAGTTCGAAGCAGAAGATCCGCGGTCGATATTGCTACCATATCACCGTATTATGATATCTCTAAGCATGTAATGTAGCTACATGTGCTGACTAATGCACCCACGTGTTTCCCACGAAGAACATTTCACCAAGTGCATTAATCTACTAAAACAATAAACACGCACACACACACTTTTACAAAAACATCCACATCCAAGAAATCTTAATATTATATAATATTCTATACACTTAGAAAAGATGATTCTTTAAGATTCTTTCCTTAGTACAGACAGTGGTTTTACATAGAATCATGAGTTCTATGTAGAACCATTTGCATGATTAAATGGTTCTCTCCATGGTGAATTGTTATTTTGTCAAACTTGTAACAGTAGCAGAACCTTTTGCAAAAAATGTCTATGTAAAACTATATACAAACATCCTCATCAATCTGAAGAACTGTTTCACCATGCAAAGAACCATCTAAGCATGCAAATGGTTCTATGTAGGACTCATGGTTCTAAAGAACCCTTGAAGAACCATGTTTTTAAAGAAATACAACTATTTCATGCTTTAATGGTTCGTTGCATGGTAAAACTTCTTTAGATTGATGGAGAATGTGTTGTATATGTTTCCATGCAGCACCAAAAACAGTTCTTCTGTTATGATTCATATTATGACAGTAAAAGAACACATTTGATGCTATATATAACTATTTACAAAAAGGTCCTGTGTAGAGCCATAAAACACATTCTCCATCAGTCTGAAGAATTTTAGCATGCATGATTCTATTTAGAGCTCATGGTTCTATTTACCAAACAAAATAGAACTAAAGAACCCTTGAAGAATGATTTTTAAGTGTGTACGTCTATAAACGATGCCAGCACATTTACGTGAAACATCCACAGTAATGATGTAAGAAAGCATAACATTGTTGTAGTGCTATATGATACTTATATAATTCTACAGGATAATATTTCCCCTTGTATATATAATATTCCTCTAGTGCTGTCTGTAATGCTTGTGTAGTGAGCTGTAGCGAATGTCTGAATTTACTATAAAGAATCCTCTTACAGATATTTTTTATTAAAGGAATGCACAGTGGTGCATGAAGAAGCAGAATATTCATTCATTCATTTATGCTATTCGTGCTGTATTTCGCAGTATTTCCCTTCCAGTGGACTTACACCAGTATATCTCAAATGTGGACTAAAATATTTCTCCTTATTTAACCAGGAAAACCCCCAATAAATCATTTAAAACACTGACAGAAAGTTTTAACCAGTTTTTTAACCAACCATACATTGTCACGATTTCCTGAAGTTTTAAGTCTTTCTGTAACATATTCCAGTCAGATGATGCAGCATGACTAAAAGCTTTTTCTCCTAATTCAGTGCGTACAGTGAGGATCATAAGAAGATACACATTTTGAGAGCACTTATCATATTTCCTGGTTCCTTTTGATACATAAAATAGATAAGAAGGTAATAAAACAAGTATTTTATAAATTAAAATGTACAAAACATGCATACACAAAGCAAATCAGTAATATGTACTGTAAGGCACAAGGATCCTCAAATTTTTCAGCAGCACTGGACCAACATTTCACCACATTTCCTATCAGTGCAAACTAAAACAGCAGCACCAACAGCAAATCAGCCTGAAATTTGATCTTAAGATTTCTGCTTGTATTAAGCACGATATATGAGCTTATGATGTATGATGTCATATCATTTGAAAGACTATGTTTCTCCATAATCTTACACAAAAGTGTAATGACTTTTAGCCCCACCTCTAAGAGACCTGCAGATTTGTGATGATGTCACCGCACACCAGTAGGTAGGGCAACATAATATTAACTACAAAAGTGTATTCCCTAATGCAGAGTAATTGGCACAGCTACAAGGTGGTTGCTATAATATCCCAAATGGTTGCTAGGTTGTTGCTATGCAGTTGCTATGGTATCCCAGGGTGGTTGCTAGAGTGTTGCTAGGTGGTTGTTATGGTATCCCAGGTGGTTGCTATAGTGTTCCAGGTTGTTGCTAGGGTGTTGCTAGATGGGTGCTATGGTATCCCAGGTGGTTGCTGTGGTATCCCAGGTATTTGCTAGGGTGTTGCTAGGTGGTTGTTATGATATCCCAGTGTGGTTGCTAGGATGTTGCTAGGTGGTTGCTATAGTATCCCAAAAGGTTGCTAGGGTGTTGCTTGGTAGTTGCTGTGGTATTCTAAGTGGTTGCTGGTTGTTGCTATGATATCCTTTTCTGTGTTTGGTTTCAGTCTCATTCGTTATGTTTGATGGACAAGCTGTTCTAGGGTAAAAGTCCCAGCACAGCATCTGCATGTCATCACAAAGTGTCATCTGATAATAACAAAGGAGGTGTTATTTTATCTTTTAAAGAATGACCACCTAAATGATTTAAACTCTTCATTAATGCTCTTTTATGCAAAGCGGAATTAATTAAAATATTGCAGTATGCAAAAGTTTGAACAGCCCCGGTCAAATTACATGTTTTATATATTGTAATTATGCTGTTCATTTATATTTTTATTTACTTGTCTATATACTATTTTCCATATACTATGCATATGCTTATGGACCAGTTGTAAAAGTCTACAGAATTTTATAGAATTCTATAATAATTAGAGAATTATTACAATTATAGAAATTAGTAGTCATTATATACAGTCGTGTGCAAAAGTTAGGACACCTCCTAGTCAAATTCCATGTTGTTGAGTGTGAATAAGTTAACACATCCTCTACAGAGACACATTTTTTGCACATTTACAATGCACAGTTACTGTTTACATGCTGAGTTTAACATGGTGAAAAAAAATAAAACTATAAAAAAAATTATAAAATGTGCCATAATTTTTGCACAAGCCACATTCCATGTTTTTTTTAATGTGTTAAATTCAGTAAATGAAGAGTAATTGTGTATTAAAATGTGCAGAAGTGTGTCTATATAGAGCAGGGGTGTCCAATCTTATCTGCAGAGCGCTGGTGTGGCTGCATGTTTTCACTCCAACAAAGCAGGAGACCACCTAATGAAATGTTTGAAGACTAACTGATTGAACAAGTGGAGTCAAGTGTGCTTCAGCTTGTTTGGAGTGAAAACCTGCAGCTACACCAGCCCTTTGTGGATAAGATTAGACATCCCTGCTGTAGAGGTGTAACTTGTTCACACTCAGGAAACCAACAACAACATGGAATTTGACCAGGGGGTGTTCAAACTTTTGCACATGACTGTATTCTAAATTTGTATATTAAAGTATAGTTGTTGCATCATACCTGCAACAGAAATTAATATGATCCCTCTTCTTTTTTTCAGGCGATCCACTTGTGTCGTTTCTTTGAGCAGATTTCTCTGGATTTAAGTGGAAAGCGAGTGATCGAGTTGGGAGCAGGAACTGGTTTTCTCAGCATACTGGCTGCTAGATTAGGTACGTTTCAGCACTAATTTACTGTTCACTGCACTAAAATGTTCCTAATTAGCCAAATTATGTGTTTTCTACTGCTGGCATTAACTTTGTCTTGAAAAGTATAGGTGAGCAGGATGATGGCGAGGCAAGAAAAAAGAACAAAAGAACAGAACTTTAGCTTTTCACTTCTAAAACTGCTTAACAACATTTTTACTTACGTGACATAGAAATATCAGTTAAAAGAGTTGCAGTAAATAAAACTACATGAAGCTACGTTGATTACACGTGTGTGTTGATTACACAGCGTGTTATGCTTCACTGTAATGTTTAATTTTTAAATAGTTAACAGTGTCAGTTATTGTAGACTATATGTATGAGATAATTGAGCATGTTGTTCTTAAAAAGCTCATATCATAGAATTTTTTAAAAAATAAGTGTTTAATGATATGTAAACATACAGCAGTTTAGCTCCACCCATTCAACCTACAGTAGTTTAGCCCCACCTATTCAGCCTATAGTAGATTACTCCCACCCATTCAACCTACAGCAGTTTAGCCCCACCCATTCAGCCTACAGCAGTTTAGCCCCACCTATTCAGCCTACAGCAGTTTAGTCCCTCTCATTCAGCCTACAGCAGTTTAGCCCCTCCCATTTAGCCTACATTTTAGAAAGAGGCATTATATAAACAGGAGAGCCAATCAGAAAAGAGCTCATTTACAATTATACAACAGTAAGTTCTGGCCACGCAAGCTGATTGGTTGAGAGGCGTTCTAACCGTGCTGATATTTCACTATGACATCGCGGGTTTTTCACAAACACTGTATCACTCTGCTTAGACGCCGTTGCTAAGCACCGAGTTTGACAGCTGGAAACGATCAAGCCATTTGAACGTTTTTACTTCTTACTTTGTGCACAAACACAAAATGGATACTTTTAAGATCACATTTGACCAACAGCCGATTTGGTCAGACTCTGAAGATGAGACTACACTAAATTCCGAAACTGTCATTACCACTGAGCAAGCTTTTCAGTCGGCAGCTGTGACAGAAGAAAACCTAAACAACACCAAATCGGACTGAGCCATAAAACTGCCGCAATAAAAAACAAAAAAGCTTGCTCAGTGGTGACAGTTTCTGACAGTTTCGGAATTTAGTGTAAGGAGCTGGGGAATGAACTGCCGGCTGAGCAGCGAGTGAGCAGAGCTCGTTACTGTGTTGTAGCAACAAGCTGCTTGTTAAGGAACTATAATTTGGCAGAAGGAATTGCTAACATTAAAACATATTAACGCCACATTCACGGCCCAATTTATTTAATTCTTACTTTATTTACTTAACTGTTGTATAAAAGCAATAGAACACTCGAGGTTGTGTGTTATCACAAATAACATCACGGCTGTGATGATCTACGGCGACCAACAGCCATGATGTTATTTCACGATAACACACTCCCTCTCGTGTTCTATTGCTTAAATATTACTCTTAAAGGCACAGTGACATAAACAGCCTGTTTATTTCTAAGGGATAGAGAGGTTGGAAAATGATTGTGTAGACATGAATTATGTTTTCAGTACATAAAATAAGTGAAGCTCAGGGGGAAAGTATAAAATACAAGGAAAGTGCTGGATGTGGGCCCCCACTAAACAATTTGTGCCATATCACACTGAATAGTAACATTAATAACTTCTTATGTGGTGTTATTTCTACCACAGGGGCCTGTGTGACCCTGACGGACCTCCCCCTGGCTATTCCACAAGCAGTCCGAAATATTGAAGCCAACACCCCTCCGAACGGTTGGCCCTCAGAAGCGCCGATTGCGGCTCCGCTGTCCTGGGGTCAGGACCAGGAGAACTTCTCCTCTGACTGGGACTTCGTTCTGGGGACAGATATTATCTACATGCCTGAAACGTTCCCTCTCCTTCTGGACACGCTGGTTCACTTGTGTGGGGGCGGGGCCGTGGTGTTCCTCTCATCGAAGATGCGCAGGGAGCACCACACTCAGGACTTCTACGACAACTGGCTGCCTCAGAAGTTTGAGGTGGAGCTGGTGCAGAGAGAACCGGAGAGTAACATTAATATTTATAGAGCAGCTCTGAGAGAGAGTCTAACAGAAACTCCAAAACATTAAAGGGCCCATATCATGGGGAACTGAATTTTCATCAGTTTGACATAGTAAATAAACATTAAAAGTTTTAAAACGCACCATTCACTCCCCAGTACATACAGTCCATATATGGAAACTAAACTGCCTGTTTGGAATTAGTTGTTTTTGTGATGTCACGAAAATCAGCACGTTATATAGTCTGCCTATTCAGCGCACAGAAATTTAGCCACGCCCACTCACACTGAAGTTATAGACCACTGTAGTCATGTAGTCATTTTGAAGTCTGCGCTCTTATGCCCATATAAGGAACTCTGGGTCTAAAACGAATTTCTCTATGAGAAGGATGAATGAACTTTTTCGAAAATTGTCTGTCGCATCCTGTTATAGTCACAAATGTTCCAAAGCTGATGTGTTTTGTCCTGTAAACATTCTTCTCTCGAATATCACTGCATCCTCCGAATTACAAGGTTATTAAAGAGTTGAAATATGAATATTGCTACATATAAACTAAAGCAACTGTGCACTGAATTCACGTCAGTTGACTGGCAGCCTCCTTAAGCACGTTTTGCCAGTGTGGTGTGTATTTCCATGTACAAACTGAGGACAGATGAAAAGAAATCAGAACAAAAGAAGCAGGTTTCCCTGCAGTTCTTCGTTCTTCATCTGATACTCACTGAAACACGAAGGTCTCTCCGTTCTGTACAGCTCGATATGAAAAGCTCTTCAAATTTACCTGAACCCAGGCTAATTCAGTACAGACTCAGCTTAATATCACTGCTCAGCCCTTGATGAGCTGATTTAGGCTATCATAATATCAAATATATCAATGCTGGTAACATTTTCTGAGGACATTTTCTCAGGACATTCGCCAGCTTCTTGTTCAAATTTTCCGGTTCCACCTTAAATGGTGCAGCAGTTAAAGTCTGAACTTCATGGAGGGTTGAAAGGCCTAATATGAGGAGGTTTATCTATTTCCGCTTGACCGCTGAGTAACATTAGCTTATTTTTGCTGTTTCACAGAACCAACAGGTCAGTATTGTTTTGTCATGTTTGCTAATGTTTGTGATAGCTAATCACAACTGCTGCACCATTTAAGATGGAACAGGGAAACTTGAACAAGAAGCTGGCGAAAAAAGAAACTTAATTCAGCCTTGTAGTTTTAACACTGGTAGTATTTTTGATAAGGAGTTTTAGTCTATCAAAATATCCTATCTAGAGGTTTTGTTTACAGGCACACCTATAAAATGCACTACAGTAGAACACTTTGATAAGGTAGCACAACTTGTCAGAGCACCGCCACAGCCCGCCTTAGTTTCAAGTAGCTTAGTGACATCAAATTGATGCACAGTATCTTTGCTTGCATGTAGCAATATTAGTATTAAGGCTCTTTAACAACCTCGTAATTTGGAGGATCCAGTGGTATTCGGGAGAAAAATGTACACAGGACAAAACATATCGGGTTCTGAATATTTTTGTTTAACACGGTGCGACAGAGATTTTTTGAAAACCCCATTCATTCTGTCCATAGAGAAATGGAGCTTAGACCCAGAGTTCGTAATATGGGCATAACGCGGGCTACAGCCCAGACTGCACAGTACAGGGCAACCAATCAGAAAAAGCTCAGTCTTAAAGGGACAATAGCATAAAAAGTGAATTTTTCTCACTGATTTGAAGTGAAAGAGTTTGATGTAGCATGTCATGAAAAGCATGATTGGTTGATTCCTCTGTCACCTCCTCAGTATGTTTGTAGTTGTAGAAAAAACAGTCCCGATTGGATCTTTTTCTGTCAGGCATTTCAGGAATTACTCTTTGGCTTTCAACCAATATGCAACAGTGCAATAAGAGTATTACTACAAGACTAATTCAACAAGCAGGATAAATAAGAAAAAAATAAATAAAATAATATTATTAAATAGAAAAGTACTTATGCAGTATGCAAATGTAAGGAAATGTATTAAATTTGTTTTTAGTAATTTCCAGGTCTGGATAAGTATGGAAAAAATAAGAGAGTATGGATAAATGTTGAGACATGTCACCTATTCTTTTCCCAAATTATAAAATTTCTTTATAATCAAACATGCCATTGCAAAGTGTTTTTAAGTACTGTTGATATCCCACGATACGCTCAGAAAAGCTTATTGTGACATAATTTATCACCATAACGATAAATATTGTCTTATTGCCGAGCTCTAGTAAACACTCGTTTTGGAGCCATCTCATCCTCTGAGTGATTAAAATATGTTCATCCCCTCTTCCCCAGCTCTCTGCTGATGCACTGAGTTTCTGTTCAGAGAGAAAAGCCTGTTTGTTCCGCTGTGGAGTTTCAAAGAAAGACAGCAGCTCCCACGTCCATGTAGCTGTGGCTCCATCAGACACAACAACAGATCCTTATCTGCTACTAAACGGCTAAATCTGTAGCTAAATCTGCTCACTTTATGGCCATATCTCCACATACTACAGTTAAATGCAGGTTTCTGCATGTGGTGAGGAACATGAGCAGCCATTTAGTGAGTCTGCATATGTTTAATATCTATTATATATTTATAATACAATGTTTACAGCAATGATATTGATATGATATTGCCTGAAATACACCTAGTAACATCACTGACGGCTTTGCTTCAAGAAAGCAGAAAGGATGCATGTATTTATTATTGTTTGTTTTTTTCTAGACAATTTAGTTGTTTGATTATTCCTTTTCTACAGTATATCACTAGTTATTGTTTTGTTGCACATTCTTCACAGAGACACACTTTAATACACAATTACCGTTTATTTACTGAATTTAACACAGTGTGGGAAGGAATAAAACAAAATGTGGCCCGTGCAAAAGTTATGGCACATTTTGTGTTTTTTTTTTATTTTTTATACCAATATGTTAACCCTCCACAAACTCGCTCGCACATCACATTCAGTGTTTCTATATCTGTTTCTTTATCTTTGCAATAATCAATCACAGGAATACAGTTCAAACATTTCCTGAATCTGTAGAGTCGCCCCTTCCATTCCATCTTATCACGAGATCGAACATCACTCACATCCGGAGTTATGAGTCTATGAAGAGGGGCTTAGATACACGTCATTTGCCTCTCACTGTGTGGAACTGATGGATTCGTGCATCCGTCTACATTCTGTGAGAAACTGACCAATAGACATTCAGGAAATCACTAAGGACTGACCCATCATGCTGGAAACCCGTCATTCTTCATTCAGTCCACATCGGAGACATGTGAAATGGCGTGCAGACAGTTTACAGCTGCTAAAGTTGCTGCAGCGGTTTTGGAAAGTAGTGATGAAGATAATGGAGCATTTTGATATGAAACATATGAGTATCATGATATATGAAGAGAATTTAAAGCAGAATTTAAGAAGATATAAACAAATCGAGAGAATGTACTCAGACCACAGAGGATTAAACCCAGTAAATAAACAGATATTGTGCACTAATTTGCAGAACATTAATGAAACATATTTAAATATACCTTATTTTCACTTAGAATGAACACAGCAGTGAATGTGTTTGGGGGTGTTCAAACATTTGCATATGACTGTATATATATGTTTGTGTTTGTGAGAATGTTGTCATTTTTGGCCTGGTAGCCTCATCGCCTCGCTTTGTTGATCATACAATAGACCTCCTAAACCTGCTGAGCTGCACATTAATGTGTGTGTGTGTGTGTGTGTGTGTGTGTGTGTGAGTGTGTTACGATGCCTCTTTATTGAACGTTCCTGCAGAGGGATGGGAATGTTTACTTTAGGCCAAAAAAAGATGAAAACTGTTTAGAAAGCTTCATTAGAGTTCTTCATTAAAACGCTCCTTTAATGAGAGGAGCTGAATGAAAGCGGTGGCACTTTAAAACAGACAAACACAGAGCTATGGAAGGGTGGGAGGAGTCCGGACCCCAAAACATACTCCTCAAATGAAGTTCCTGAGTCTGCATTATGTGTGACTGTCATCCAGCAGCAGCTCTGCCACCCTCATCTGATCCTCCTGTTCGAAGGTAAAGTGATTTCCTGTATATTGCAACATTTTCTCAGCTGGTTTGCTGAAGGTTACTTAAACTTTTTATCATTTCTAATCAGAAAAAACATATTGCTTTTAACAAAGTTGATCTAATATTAGTGAGTCTGCAACACACAAAATGTGTGATATTTACATACACCTATATTTTATGTATAAGCACTAAATTAAATGAATATTTTGAACTGTAGCATGAATTTGTGTGCTCTAAATACACTTCTGGGCAAAAAAATAGGCCAAGCCCAAAATATAGTGGTTGTTATGGATCGTTTTGGCTGGTCAGAGTCCAGATTTAAACCCTATAGAGAATATTTGGTCTCATATTAAACACAAACTAGCTCTGCAATGTTTTTCAGATGTCTGAAGCTGTCAATGCTGAGTGGATCAATACTGACTCTTCTTTCTATAAAAGACTGTCTGCACATTTACACACACAACCTGTGTTAATGATCTGTTGTTAAGACCATTAAAAGGTTATTTTTTGCCGTTTTTTGTCCAGGAGTGTATAATAAGCCTGAACAAAACCCTCAGTTTCCTGTATTTAAAAAACTGATTCAGTTCATAAGGAGTTTATATTGAGCAGATGAGGCAGATCAGGTGTTGCAGGTTAGGTGCATTGATTATAAAGGAGAAACAAGGCTGTTGTGTGAATAATGGGAAAATGTGGTGAACATTAATGTGTATCTGCAAAATTTGCTTGAAATTTTTAGATTTTGCATCTTTTTTATTATTTGTGGTATTACTTACCTTGCAAAGAGCGAAGTAAAAAAATGCACAGCTTTACTTGGAAAATTGCACTAAAACAGAGCAAGGATGTAAAGTTTAAATTCGGCATGCAGGGAAGTTAAGAATATTATTTGTTTTATAACCACAAGGGGTGCTCGGATACAATTTGTGGTGTGAACCTTTGGACGAAGTTTTAGTGACAGTATGTCAGATGTGGGCATAAATGCTTAAAAAAGTGGGGACGCTGTGCAAAATGTAAATAAAAACAAAATGCAATGATGTGTAAATCATTTAAACCCTATTTTTCATTGAAAATAGTACAAAGACAACATACCAAATGTTGAAACTGAGAAATGTTATTGTTTTTTGAAAAATGCCAGCAACACATTCCAAAAAAGTTGGGACGGGGGCAAGAAAAAGCTGGTAAATTTGTGTAATGCTAAAAAAAACACCTGGCCGTTGATTGACAACAGGTCAGTAACATGATTGGAGAGAATCCCAGAGAGATTGGGTCTTTCAGAAGTAAAGATGGGGAGGAGTTCACTACTCTGTGAAAGACTACATGATCAAATAGTGCAACAATTCAAGAATAATGTTTTTCAACATAAAATAGCAAAGAACTTTTGCTTTTCATTATCTACGGTACATAATATCATTAAAAGATTCAGAGAATCTGGAGAAATCTCTGTATGGAAGGGACAAGGCCAAAAAAGTACCAGTATCTGCTGGGCATGATCATGAGACCACTCAGCTTGTTATCAGTGCACAGTTCAAAAGCCAGTATTCATGATGGTATAGGGGTGCATTAGTGCACATGGCATGGGTGACGTGAACGTCTGTGAAGGCACCATTAATGCTGAACGATAAATACCGATTTTTACCGTCCAGATGGTGTCTGTTTCAGGGAAGGCCTTGCTTATTTCAGCAAGACAATGCCAAACCACATTCTGCATGTATTACAACAGCATTGCCACATATTAAAAAAGTCCAGGTGCAAGTGACCTGTCACCCACTGAAAACATTTGGCCCATTAAAAAGTAATGAAAAATATGACAAATGAGCCCCTGAACTGTTGAGCAGCTGAAATGCTACATCAAACAAGAATGTTAAAAATTTCATTTCAAAACTACAGCAATTGGTCCTCCTCAGTTCCCAAACGCTTACAGAGTGTTGTTAAAAGAAAAGGTGATGAAACACAGTGGTAAGCATGCCCCCGTGCCAACTTTTTTGGAACATGTTATTGGCATCAAATTCAAAATGAGTGTATAATTAAAAAAAAATTCTCAGTTTCAACATTTGATGTGTTGTTTCTGTAATATTTTCATTTAAAATACGGTTCTCATGATTTGCATATCATTGCATCCTATTTTGGTTTACATTCTGTACAGTGTCCCAACTTTTTTGGAAATGCGGTTGTAATTATTTTTGCTTTATTTTTTTTTTAATTATTATATTAAATTGGGATATATTTTGTGAGCATTTGAGCATGCAGTAAGAAATATCCTTTCATATATGTATGTTCATGTTAAACTTTTGTTCCCTGAAAAGATGGAATTCTGGGATGGAAGAGAGAGGCACGCTTCACAGTACACTAAATACAGAACTCTTCCTGGATGGAGCTCCTCTTCCCACACGTACGTAAAGCTAATACTCTACTTTAAAATCAGCAATGTAGTGATTTGCTCCTGATTGCATAAATTTTAACATGGAGTAATTAAAATGTCATGTTTTAAGTAACCCATGCTTCACAATATAAGGTTAAAAACAATGCTGTGATCATTAGTTAAATCAGAATGCAATGATGATCACATTGAATGTAAACATAAAATAATGAATAAATAACTCCTTTGTCTGGCCTCTTAGTGAAAAACAACCTCTTTTGTGCATTAAATAAACATTCTTCATACATTTCAGTTCATTTAAATTCTACATGAATAGTACAAAAGATATTAAATATTTCCGAAATGCAGTGAAGGAGAAGGAAATGAAGCAGTGATGAGACACACTGAAAAAAGTGCTGCATTGAATTTACTTGATTCAAATGTCTACATAATTTCCATATGGAGAGGAATTTGTGCCAAACTGAAAAACAGTCACTACAGTGGAAAAATGTGAAATGCAGTGCACACATGATAATACTGTTCCATAGTGATATGCAGAATATGCAACAAAATGAAAAATAAACCCGCTATTACACTGTTTTCACTTCACTCGACCTTCTGATTTTTAAAAACAAAATGCTGAATTTATATCAGAATTGAATACAGTCCACCTTGAAATGAAATCAAAGCATGACTACACTTTTATCCACTGTGCTTTAAACAACGTTAAATCGGTATATCGGATCTTTTGCTTTTCATTTTGGCATGTTTTGTGCATGTTACTGTTTAAATGCAGTCTCATGTGTGCATTGCAGTTGACTGTTTTGATTGCATTTCAATGAGGCAAATACATTTGAAGTACAAAAAAGACGTGACAACAGTGTAATGGGGGTTTGCTTTTCATTTTAGCGTGTCACAACGGAGCAGTAAAGACATGCTTTTCATTGCATTTACATTGCTTTTTAGCACACATACCTCTCCATATAAAACTGCATTGTTGTACAAAATAACAGAAACATCCCATGAAATGCTCTCATGGTTTGACCATTTTATCAGAAACCCCATATAGATGCAGTTTGTAGGATTACAGTTACAGCCCATTGCTGTTCCCCTCTACTTTCCATCAGTGGATTGGGACTACCATAGGACCACCACTGACCAGATAATATTTGGGTGGTGGTCCATTCTCAGCACTGCAGTGATACTGATGTGATAGTGACTGTGAGTGTCATCAGACACAGCGGTGTTGCTGGAGTTTTAGCATGACCGTACACACTCACTGGCCACTTTATTAGCAATGCCTCCTTATGTTGCACGTTGTAGATGTACAGATAGAGACTGACGCCTATCATAGTTTGCGTTAGTCATCCTGCAGCTTTTCATCACCATGTGTGAAAACTCCAGCAGTACTGCTGGGCTGCATGTAAATATTTTCAACATGTATGCTGGTGCAAGGAGTGTTGCAAGTTGCAAATTTAAACATTATAGCACTGAAATCAAACTACAAGTCTTCTAAAAAGTGTTAATCCCAATTAATGAAACAGTTTGTCATTTTAACTTTGAAAAAGAGTTAAATTTTCACACTCATTTTGTGAAATAAACAAAAATATTTTCCTCCCTGGTAATTTTAAAAGCACCACTCAAGTAGTGTTTTTGTGCATCACTGAAACAGGTGAAACGTATGCACCAGCAGAATTTTGCTGATTTCAAAATGGGAACCTAAATAGTTTTTGTAGTAAGCAAGGCTTAATGTTATTTAATATGTGAGTTTTAACATAATTATTTAAATCTAACAATAGATACAGGCTAAAGGTAGCAAAGACAGTAAACATGGCAGCCTCAGCCTTTGAGTCCAGAGATGTTTTTGGGCTGACTAATCTATCTTTAGGAAGCAAATGATAAAATCACAAATTATAGCAGCACAACTTTTGCACATTTTGTACTTTGTGAGGCCCTTTGCCTACAGACAACTGGATTCATTCAGTAATGTTGGAGTTACTTGATGGACTACAACACTAGAACATAGTGGGAAAATTTTCAATATTGGACACAGTACGTAGTGAGAATTATTCACGTTACTGCCTGACTGTGATCACCATGAGCACTAGGACTTGACAAAATGTTTTATAAATATATCAACACTACACATAAAGTTCTTTACATGTGTACAACTATGATCTTTTTGTATTCGCACAGGATTTATTTCTCTTTTCTTGTCACATTGTACAGTCGCACTACTCGTACCAGCACCACACACACTACCACGCCACTGTTAATGCTGTGTTGAAAATGGTCTACCACCCATCAGCGATCTACAGTGTGCAATAGTAAACTTGTAGTGCACCTGTATAATAGATGTTTCTGATAAAATATCTACCTGTATGTTGCATCAGCGCAATTATTGCCAAAAATAAGTAAACTGAAAAAGAAAATTGTGTTGATGTAATACATTTTATTTATGTGTAAATGCTGCACACATTTACATTTAGTAAATTCAGTGCACCACATATTTTCCAGTATACAAAGTAATGAAGATTGGCCTGGTCCAAGAAGCAAGACTCTAATAACAAATCTTCTTTGCATGTTCTTCTTCCTTTACTTGTAGATATCCCAACAGGACTCCCACAGCTCACTTCCCAGAGTCCAGATCAGAGAGTCCGGGCTGGATGGGTGAACCAAGCAGTTGGTTGATACCAGGTTCCAGAACTGGTGGAACTATGAGGGACTATGTAAACTGGAGTGAAACAGTTCCTTCCTCCAACTTTACTTCTGAAAATCAACTCTACCCCCAGGAGATAGCTACATACGCTGGTCAAGAGCGGAGTTGTGAAAGACAGAGAGCTCTTATGGAGAGACACAGAGAAAAGGAGAGGCTAGTACAGAGAGGAGAGTTGGCAAATAAATGGCAAACTTGCAGTTCTACACTCTACAGAAGAGAGAAAGAAAAGCTTAGTACTAACAGTTATCGAGAGCTGGAGGCTTGGGCCAACCGCTATTACAACTCTCTTCCCAGGCAGAGACATGTTGAGGCAGGGACAACCCAGTGCATACCAGACAGCGAGAGGATGTTGGGGTCTACAAGCAGGTTAGTCAGTACAGAACCTAATCAAAGACCCCTTGCAAATACATCAGTACCTTATAACCAAGAAAAGTGTACCCTTGATAACAGACTGAGGGTTCAGCTGGAGATGTGGAAAAGGCAACAGCCACCTCCTTACATTCCAGCAAAACAGAGTCTGTCTACGAAGACGTCAAATTTAAATAGCAAGGAAAATGTGGTCCTGAGCCCATCTTTCAGTCACCCCCCAAACTACACACCTCCACCACCATACAGCACTCCAGTGGAGTCTGACATGCTGCTGAAACTGGGAAAATGCCCTGCAGAACCAGTGACGGAGTACAGAGTTGGAAGCAGACCAGTTACCTCTACATTTTCTACAAGAACAGAGCGTTCTCTTGCCCCTTTAACAGAAGGAGGACAACGCACAGACCGTTCTTCAACTGATAGGATGCCAAGAGCAGTGACGAACTTTGATACTCACAAAGCCAGACAACAACAAAAGCTTTTAAGCAGACTTACAGAGTCCCTTACTGTGCCTCAACAGCCGAACCAAGAACAAGAGGCTGTTGCACCACAACTACAATCATCACATCAGTCTCCTGAGAAAAGTAAGATGACCTATTCAGATACAACACTCACCAAGCAGAGCAAAACCAAAATAAGAAGAGGTGGAGGGACAGTGTTTTGTTTAGTCTCTCGTATGGGGGAGCTAGCAGGGTTGTCCAGTTCCCCTGATGAACCGCTTAAATCCCACTCATTGCCTCTTTTAAAAGTCTCAGCTACTGGAAGCACAGCAAATGTAGCTAAGCAGGCCAATGTAAGCCAAGAACCAGTTCAGCTGGCAGATGAAGTCGATTCTGGAGGTCTGACAAAACAACAGTGTGAGTCCATCAAACTAGAAAATACCCCTGAAGGACACACAGGGGAAAGTCAAACCCAGACCTCTGACCAAAGCTTAATAGATACCAACAAAGAGAAAATACAAAGAGACATTCAGGAGAATATGCTTACACAGCATAATGAAAAAATAAACTTTCTAACTAGCAAGAAAAAGGAAGACCCTCCTAGTGTATCTAATAAGGAAGATGAAAACATTGATCCTTGTGCATCCACTAAAACTGCAACTGAGAGCTTGAGTGTACCACACAACCAAGCCATGGTGAAGTTTCCATTATGGAAGGAACCAAAATGGCACTATTGCTCCAAGGGTATTTCAGAGAAGAAAAATGAACCAGCCCAAGATATCGGTAAAGTGGGCCAAAATGAACAAGCGGTAGATGGACAACCAAAGCAAAGCAGCAGTCAGTAACAATGCAGCTAGAGACAAGAGCAGAGGTCTTGTGGTTATTGATGCAACCTGTGTTGTTGTCAAAGTTGAGTTCATTTTTCCTCCTGAAAAAGAGCATGTCCAGTATGTATGTACACGTTCAACTGACTCATATGAGCACGGCTCTGACTCTCTAAACCTTCAAGTCCAAAACAATGATGTATCAGATGCAACAGAGAAAAGTGCTCTTACAAATAATACACAGGAACTTCATATGAAGATCCAAGAGCAGAACGATGATGATTTGATAAACAGAAACTCTAGTGATACAGTCATTAAGGACATGAGCCAAATGTCAAATAATATAATGCCTGAGAGGGTCACTTCTGAAAATGAGACTCTCAAGGAAAGAGCAGAGAGGATTCTTGGAATTACTCTTCAGAATTCCAGCAATGAAGGACAGACACAGGATGAACTTCCACAAACTACTCAGACAGAAAATGGCAATGTTCTAAAGATTCAGGAGAGTTCTTTAAAAGAGCCAGAGGGATCTCCTGAAGCTGAAATTGATCATGTAGAAGATTCTGAATGTCATTTGGAAGGCATGGCTATGTCTGAAAATGCTGAAACCCCAATGGAAGAGATATTAACCATACCAAAAGAGAAAGAAGCTAAATCCTTAACAACAAATGCCGATGGCACACTAGAAGAATCTGAAGTGAATCTCATAGATACTGTAAAGACAGTTCAACCACTGGACATAATTAAACAAGAAAATGAAAGCATAGCTGAAGACAAATGCATACTGGAAGAGAATTTTACAACTAAGCATTCAACAGCAGGAGTCGACACAGCAGTTGATGCCACTCAAGAGCAGAAAGATAGCTTTGAAGACAAAGTTAACAGTAGTCCCACTGATGAAATAAATGAAATGAGGCATCTCCTCCCAACCGTCTTTGATGACCATGTGGAAGAAACTGGCAAGTCTTTTGGCCAAGAAGGTAGCCCTGTGGAGGGCAATCCATCATGTGAAACAGGTGATGTAAATAATCGCTGCCCAACCTTCCTTTGTTGATTTTATTGAAGATTCTAGTAAGACAATTGTCCAAGAAGGTGCTTTCAGTGAGGGGAATCTTTCAGATGGAGCAGATAACATTCAGAATCCATACCCATCTCTCCTTGAAGACCAGGTGGAACACACTGGTGAATATTTTGCTCAAGAAAGTAGTCCCAAGCAGGGCAACTTATGTGAAACAGATGATGTGAATATCCTCTGTCCAGTCCTTCCTGGTAACTACATCAAAAACATTAATGAGTCATTTAGTCAAGAAGGTAGTTCCAGGGAGGGCAACCCCTCGAATTCAATGGATGATGTTAATAATCTTTGTCCACCCCTTCTTGAAAACTACACAGATGAGACTAGTGAGTTATTTGACCAAGAAGATACTCCCATTCTTACAGATAAAAGTGACAAAATAAAGAATCGCTGCACACCTCTTCTAGGAAAGTATGTGGAAAACACTGGTAAGCTGTTTGACCAAGAAGGTACTCACAATGAGGACAACCTCCCAGATGAACCAGATGACATACAGAATGTCCATTGTAGCTCTGTGGGAAAGACTAGTGAGTTGTTTAATCAACAAGGAAGTTCCAGGGAGGACATCCTTTCAAATGAAACAGAGGATGACAATGTGAACAACCCTAGTGAACCATTTGGTAAAGAAGGTCCTCCCAGAGAGGGCGACCTCTCCGATGAAACAGATAACATAGACAATCTCTGTCCAGTCTTCCATGGTAACTATGTGGAATATATTAGTCAGACGTTTTGCCAAGAAGGTAGAACCAACATCTCAGATGAAACAGATGACATGCAGAATCTCAGTCCATCCCTCTTTCAAAGCTCTGTGGAAAGCACTAGTGAGTTGTTTGACCAAGAAGATAGTCCTTTGGAGGGTACCCTCTCAACTAAAACAGATGACGTAAATAATCTTTGTCTAGTCCTTTCTCGTGACAATGTGGAGAACATGTGTGAACCATTTGGCAAGGAAGATGCTCCCAAGGAGAGCAACCTCTCAGAAGAATCAGAGAACATGCAAAATCTCTATCCATCCCCTCTTTGTAGCTCTCTGGAAAGCACTAATGAGTTGTTTGACCAAGGAGGTAGTCCGTGGGAGAGTACCCCCTCAAATGAAACAGAAAATGTTTATAATCTTTGTCCAGGAATCCCTCAACACAATGTGGAAAAGACTAGTGAACCATCTGGCAAGGATGGTGCTCTCAAGGAAGGCTCTTTCTCAGATGATACCGATGACATTCAGAATGTCTGTCCATCCCTCCTTCACAGCTCTGTGAAAAGCACTAGTGGGTCATTTGATCAAGAAAGCACACCCAAGAAAGGTACCACCTCAACTGAATCAGATGATGTAAATAATCTTTGTCCATTCCTTCCTCATGACAATGTGGAAACCAGTGTGGAGACCAATGAAACGTTTCGCAAGGAAGATGCTCCCAAGGAAGGCAACCTCTCAGATGAAACAGATGACACAGAGAATCTCAGTCCAACCTTCCTTGATAATGATGTGGGAGATACTAGTCAGTTGTTTGGCCAAGAAGGTAGTTACAGGGACACCAACATCTCAGATGAAACAGATGACATTCAGAACCCCTGTCCTTCCCTCCTTGGTGATTCTGTGGAAAGCACTAGTGAGTTGTTTGACCATGAAAGTAGACCCAGGGAGGGTATGCCCCCAAACCAAACAGGTGATGTAAACAATCTTTGTTCACCTCTCTTTGGTAACAATGTAGACAACACTAGAGAGTTGTTTGACCAAGAAGATAATGAAGATATCTCACCTCCAACAATTGATTCTCACACAAAAGAGTCAACTTGTCAGCTACCTCTTGAATCTTTGCCCTGTCTGTCTGAATCTCCACATCATTCTGACAAATCTAGTTTATTGGCACCATCACTTGCTGTGACTTGTTCAGTTTCAGACTCTGAACTTCAACCAGAGTTATCTCCTCCACACATCAACCAAGAGTACATTTCTCCTTCTTGTGGAAGCTCCATGTTGCCTTCTCCATCCCTAACTCCAATGCTTCTTGCTCACTCAAGACCCTCTGACAGTTCATCTCAGACCAGTAGCGTTCATGGTGAGATATGTTCTCCAAGTTCATTTGCACCACCTAAATGCATGAAGGAAAAACAATATCCCAAGTCACTATGGGATGCAGTGAACCGCATTCGCAAACATACTGCACCTGACTCAGAAAACGAGGAGGAGGACGGTGTTGAACTTTGGGAACAAATGGAAAACACAAATTTAGAGGCTGACACTGAATTGCAGCCACAGGAATCTGTCCTGGAGGAGAGGATAGGTAATATCA